ACAAAGAATTTCTTCCCCATGCAGCTCAGAATCAAGAGACTGGCAAGTGTCTTCGCCAGTCGGTCAACTTCTTCATTGCCTCTAATTCCTGTATTAGCAGGTACCTAGTAGAACTCGACGCTATCCTGTGTGACTTTGATGAACTTTTTAATAATATTAAATATGTACGAATTAGTTTTTATACCAATTTTCGGTGACTGGAGACTCCCAGTGCGCTGAGTGAATCAGTGAAGATGCTCTAAGGCCGCGTCCATGGCTAAGTCTATGGCTGCACATTCTGCTGTGCATATGGATGCCTTGGGATCAAAGCATTTGGATGATCTGATTTTTAGATCAGGAGAGAACATGGCTGCTGCTACGTAGCTTGAATTGGTGATCTTACTGCCATCGGTGTAGATAGAAATCGCACTATGCTCTTGCGTGAACTGCCCGATCTCTAGACAGGGGTTCAGTGCTTCTTTGAGAGAGATCCCTAAGTCTTTATTGAAAGGTATGGTGGTGTAGAGAGTTGCATAATCTTGAAGGCTGACGAGGAAGTTGCTGTATGAAAGTAAAGATGTATCTAGTAACTGGGTGTGATGAATACATTGCCTGAGAGTTCTTTCCATCTTACTAGGCTTAGAATTGCAGGTTTCCCAGTAATCTCTTATCACCTTGAAGGTCATGGAGCTGATATTGGAAGCAGCTTTAATTAAAAAACAGTTACAGAAAAACCCTGCTCGATCTTTGATGAACATCAACTTCGCCTCACCTAAGAGAACATTACAAGGCGTGCTGATTCTGTAGCCTAGTGCTGTTTTTTAATGTTGACCTGTTGTCTTGGTAGGTATATATAGATGCCGTAGTCAATGACAGATCTCATAAAGATCTTGTACAATAGCAAAAGCGTATCAGGTCCAGCCCCCCCACCAAGTCCCACGAAAAAATTTGATTAGGTTTAGTGATCTGTGACATCTATTAATAACGTGCTGTAAATGATCTTTGAAGGAGAATTTGTAGTCAAATATAATACCTAGAAATCAAGCTGCACCTGTGGATTTGGCTAAATGAGCTTCAATGTTGATTGAGATTCTGCCAGAGGGAATGTTCTTATTATTGAAGTGGATTAGAGCTGTTTTGGAGGGAGTAAGAGTAAGGCCAAGCTTAGAAAGGTTGCATTGAAAAACTGCAATCGCCTTTTCCAGGTAAATTTTGCTGCTAGTTGCTTGGGTACATTTGGCATACAGAGCTATGTCATCCGTGAACTGCAGTATGAAGATATTTCTTGGTAGGTTGTTGGTGATCTCAGAGACATAGATTGTGTAGAGTAGAGGGCTTAACACTCCCCCCCCCCTGTGGTACCCCTTTGTAGGCTGTTCTGAGACAATTATTCGAGTAATCAGTTGAAATAAATCTTTCCTGAGTTAGAAATTTGACAAACTTCAAGACATTTTCGGAGCAACCTATAGAAGCTGATCTAGAGAGAAGAATATCGATAATGACATTGTCAAAAGCTCCTTGGACGTCAAGGAAGGTTATTATAACTTCTTTTTTGTACAGAAATGCCTCATCGACTGCTAGCGAAAAAGTTACCAGGTTATCAAGGCATGAACGACTCATTCTGAATCCTTGTTGGATTCGATGCCTGACGCTGATTTTGCACTTTTAGGGGCAAGGGCAGCGTTGAATTCAGCAAATGTAAAGTGCGAGTCAAAAAATTGATTGTGGTTATGAGCAGAAAGCCAGTCGGGATTAGTTGGAACCCAGGGGGGACTAATTTGATTTTTTGCTTCTTCTACTCTTGTGTGACTTTGAAAATTGCTGGCTGTATGTTGGGGGCGAATTTTGATCCAACTATTTTTGAAAATCTTACATTTATTCCACACGTGTGTAGAATCCGTTCTTAGGTTCAAGCTTCCAGCAAATTCTTTGAAACTATTTTCTTTTGCGTCCTACCACGAGACTGGGTTTTTTTTACGACTTTTTTTTTAATAGGAGTGCAGGTTACCACAGCATTATGCACTATATTAATGAACGTAAAGTATTTTTCAACAGGAGGTTACTGTTCACTGTTAAGAGAAATTCGGGGTACCGTGACTCTAAGATGTCTGCTACTTTCTTTCAATTGGTCTTTAACGATTTGATTTTAAAGGTTTTTTTCTGATATCGCCCCTTTTCTGCCGAGACCAAAATGGATAGTGGTAAATGGTCCAAGTCCATTGTGTCTTCCTCACAGCAGACCTGGATTTTATCACAAAGGTTTATCAAAGATAGAACCAAGTCCATGTTAGATTTTTGGTTAGTGTGCGAGTTTATATGAGTGAGTGTATTATGGTTATGCAGGTAAAGATCTTGCTTTTCAATTGCATCGAAGAACTTTCTACCATTACCATCATTATACCCACAGTTCCAGGACGTATGGTGTGCATTGAAATCCCCCAGAAAGATAGCATTATCATACTCGATGGCTAGCTATGCTATAGAGTTCCATTTGTCTGCAGATAGAAGGTGCCCTGGTTGCCTGTAGCAAGCTATGATGTTAATACAGGAGAGGTGCAAGTTATTTGAAGTCCACACATTTTCACGGATTGGTCAGGAGCCACGATATTATCAATTTCATCATATCCAATATTATTGCGTAATAGTATAACAATACCTCCGCCTCTTGAGTGTACTCAATCTTTTCTATAGGTCAGAAAACCAGGACAGTAGAATTTATTTTCAGGGGAGAGCCAGGTTTCAACACAAATAATGTCACATCTTTTGCTGATGCTAACTAAGTCAAGGTGCCTCAAAGCGATACTGCGACAGTTCCCAAAGAAAATCCTGAGAGATAAATAATTTTTTCCCTGATTGTTATTAACCATTTTGATGTGTAATTTGTTTAAATCAGTTGATTGTCAGGGTGGTAGGTGATGAGGTGGTTCGCAATATCTTCAATGTCCATTTCATTGTCTATTAGACTGCCATCAGAGGAATATGAATCAACGTTTTCAGTCTTTGTGATGTATGATTTATTTTCTGGTTTTTTAATTACTTCTGTGAATTTACCTTGAAGAGTTTTGGTAGGAAGGATCTTGTACAGTTGTCTCATCATGTGGGCTGGGTTTTCAGGACTTAATTAAAGCTCAAGTAGTGTGTGCTTCACGTCTTGCCAAGCAAATATTTTACCTGGAAAGCTTATCAATTGCAAATAGCTGTACTTGAAGTTCGAAGGGTCTTTTCCTATTGCTAGCTCAACTTCTGGTTTTCTGACTATGGAGGCAGCTGCATTAGTAGTTTTAGGAACTGTCTCTGGTGCCGAAGGCTTACTTTTTTTGATACATGACTCACAAGCTTTGTGCCAGGAGCGATAAACTGGCTGCTTTTCTCGTTGGTAGCGAAAGTGTAGGAAGGACTTGACGAGGTAGTAGAATGCTGACGTTTGTTTTTTTTTCCCTTCTTGTATTATTTTCCCCACCGAAGACTCGTTGGAGAATATACCGCGACTGTCTATAGAAGTGTGATTTTCGGTTGATGGACTACAGATGTTTACATTATCATCGTCACTTCGTTTAAATGTATTGCTGTCTAACTGACTAGTTAGTTGGGGATAAGCTGTATTGCTTAGTGCTGCTATCAAAAAACATGTGAGGTTGTCGAGTGATGGGTAAATCCGGTATACAGTACGTACCAAAGTAATCAACTTTGATTGAGCTTGGAATTTTGTCTACGTATGCTGGCTTGATGTAGATTTGACGATGAAAGCTGCTGATATGTTGGAATCTTGGAAGAGTGAATTCTGCTCGTAATTTGGAAACTCTTGATGTAAGCGTGATCTGCATGTCTTGTAATTTCTTTTCAAGAAGGCTATTAGGAATGAATAGCTGTACGTTGGATAGAATAACTCTTTTGTTATGAGCAAGTAAAGGACGAATAGATATTTTGTGGTGCTGAATAAAAACAGATCTGTGGTTGTTTACTAAGTCGTTAGCTAAATTTTCTGTGGCCATGTACATGCAGATTCTGTTGTTGGAGATTCTTGACATGTAACGGATATCTTCGGGGCTACAGGGTTTAGCAATAGCAACGGCATATTCCTGTATGGTTATGCTGTCAACAGCATTAAGGATGATGGCTTATTTTTACGTGGGTAAATTTTCCGTTTGGAGTGCATTGATGAAGGTCATTCGGTTGGTTACAGAACTTTGAAAGGAATTCCCTATGTTTAGAGAATTCATAATAACACAAATTTATCTATTTCACTCTTATTTTTTTGAGGCCGCTAAAGAGCAGGATGCGGGAGCGTGCTCCCACCGAATAGAAAACAGCTACTGGACACTTGATTCACAGTTTATTGCGTTTCGATACTAGCACTAATAGGTTATACTATCACTGAATACAGTAGGCAAGACGCGTGAAACGGAGCGTTGGTAACCACGTCCGATCTGTATCCGTTTATGTTAATTGTTTATAACCATTAAATTTGTAATAAAAAATGGAAAATGGAATATATTCAATATATTTGAACTCTTCAACGCAAGATTCTTTCTTTTGCTAAAATGAAGTTACAAATCACGCAAAACATATGCGAACCTATTACTTTTGTTTATAAAAATTAAATTTGTTACAAACAATGAAAACGGGATCTAATCGATATATTTGAGTTCTTTCAACGATAAATTTTTTCTTCCACCCAAAGGAAAGTAACTACACGTATAACATAAATAAAAGTGACCTTCTTTCTGTTTATAACAACTATGTCGTTGTTAAGTGGCAGAAATTTAATCGTACAGAAGCGTTTGTATTTTTTATAGCCAGTAACGACGAATTCTTTGCTTCTCTTTTAATACTATTACACCGTAATACGTATTGAAGAAAGCTTATATATACTATAAAAGTACTATTTAATACATTTTCGATCAATCCATTATTATGCAACGTGATTATGCACATTACGCGGTCGAACTCGAGGGAAAGAAGCACAAATTGATTCTTATGATAGAATTTACATTATGTAAGTTATATATTTCGTTTTGCAGGGTAGTCCGTTGAGTTATAGCAATAATCCGTCAGCACCGCCAAGTCCTACGAATCACTTAGGATCAACGAATCTCACACACGATAACATAGATCAAAATAGTTATTTCATCAATCAAGCACAAGCAGCGGCTTTACAACAAACATTTGAACAATTTAATATGGTAAGTATCAATCAATCAATCCTATGAAATATTAGTACACAGATAGAAGAATTTATTTGGCGAAAATATATACAGTTATCAGCATTTTTTTAATGCAAATAAATATTACTTATAACCAAATAAACATTTCGTTATGGTAAATAGAGTTATTGTGTGTATAATGCATATTTTGTAATTAATAAATATTCTTCGCAAGGCTGTCTCACGTTCTCAAGTGGTTATAATGTAATTGCTCTTCGAGCTATGGTTTAACACGATATTATAACATTATGATTTACAAAATCATTTATTTAATTTCTTTTTTAAACAACGTATTTATTTGTTTCTATTAAACTATGATACATCCAAAGAAATCCTTCTACCAGTGTAGAAAATTTTAAAAGTTCTAAAAAAGAAGACATTCTTTTGATAATTTATTATATTATATTATAATTTTATGGCTCATTTTTTGTTGCTTCCAAAGGGAGCGGTAAGTACAATCGAAAACAATCATATTTATACATTGGTTAAAAATATTAAAAGCCAATTATTTTTTTATCTTTCTTTCAAATGCAAATGTAGGAAGTGGTAAGTTTATATATGAAAATTTTGTAGTATTTAGAGTCCATAGAGTTAGTATAAAGATAATGAATAAAAATGCTTGAAACGTTTACTGCTATATAAATTGGATATATTTATAGAATAATTTCTGAAAATTCAAACTCAAATCTTACTTATTAAAATAAATAGTCATGGAGCACTTTTGAAAAATATGTTTAAAATATACCTTTATCTGTTGTCTGCTCACCTGCTATTAGGACTGGGTACAAGTGGTGCAACAACTTGTGGAATCTGGTTGGACCACTCAGGTAGTTGATGCCCTCAACAAATTTTCCATCATTATCATTTTCTTATATTGACTTAATTTCATTTTTTATCTTGTATTTAAAAAAGGTCTATATCAGCTATTATTTTCAAAATTTTTCCATATTACGTTAACATACCACCAATAGTATTACACAAACATATTTTTGAATATTACATTTTATATATGTTTACTATAACTCAAAAAATAATATTTGTTAATCAATAGAAAGAATAAGTTATATACATAAATGGATAAAGGTTGAACACCGATACTTGAATTCTAAGTCTCTGATTCTAATTGAGGGACATTTTACCTTGATTTATCATTATTATTATGATTATGCGGCAAATAATCAAATAAAGATACCTTTTTTTTTGAATACATTATCATAAAAGATTAACAAGATTAGCAATGTGTACCCTTTAGAATTGCATTAGTAAACATTATACTGGTTTATCCAGTAAGCTATGGCTTTATTGTACAATTAATTATTATAGATCAATTTACTAATTAAGCCTTCAAAAATTTAAAAAATTTTTTTCCCAGGTTTGTAGCTTATGATGGCACGCATATTCATGTTTTAAGAAAAAGTTAGTTATTTTTTTTTTTTGCATAAAAACAGGAAAAAGAATTCAACTTTTGATAGAGGTATGGAGAAATGTCTGTTTTAACTCGAAATAATCAACAACGATATTAGATGTAGACGATTTTTTAGTCTTTTTTTATCCTCTTTTGAACAGGATACTAAGTGATTGAATAGGATGATACAACTAAAGAATTTTTTTTATTTTTTATCAAACCTCAATAGGATTATGCATTATTTAATAGGTTTGAACTCCTCAAAAATTCAGTAGTTTATAGCCTTTTTTTTGTTCTCAGAATTGTATTAATGGAACAGCAAAATTCTAATGGGAAATATCGTGATGAAAAAATATTTTCTAAGTCACATTTTCCTTTACAATCTATTAATTTTTTTATAGAAACTTGCAAAAAAATCTATGTAAAAACTGTCAAGTTCTGTTAAGGAATACTGTCACTGAATATTATAATTTCACTGAAGTATTTTCTAATAGGATTTTATTTATTTTTATCGAAAGATATTCTAAAAGTTTGAATAGAATATAAACTTTATCTACCAAAGTACCCTGCTTAAACTGTCCTATTAAAATATGTAGAATCCTATAGACTTTTTAGCAAAATTCAGCACGAAACGAAGAATTCAAATACGTTCAGCCAGAGAAATATTTGTTTTTTAAAAAAGTTCAATCGAAAATTGAATTTCAATCGAAATTGAGAATAAATATTATATACCCATAGAATTTCGATTTTTTCTATTAACAAATTTGAATAGGATTATAACAACTATATCTATGATATATCAAATCTCAAGAGGATTCTGCATTATTTAATAAGTTAAACTCCTACAACATGCTTTGTCCTAAGCATTGTATCAATTGAAAAGTGAAAACCTAATAGTAATCTAGTCATATAAGATTTTATCCGCGTAAATATTGAAGTAGTTTCAATCGATTCTGTTTTTTAATCAAAGTTGATTGAATTCTTTCCTACATTTTAAATGTTTATATAGCCCTTCTCGTCTATCTTATGAGTTTTGTTTACGTTGTGTTTCGTTGAGGCACGTTAATTATGATCAAAAACTCGCAATGAGTATGACAAGCGCTGATATATAGCTATGTCTCTCTCACAGCAGTATCGTACCCAAAGGGTGTTCAATATATTTCACCGGTTTTAACTTTACCAACATTAAGAGGTTGATAACTTTTTACCTGTTATAGGTAAGGGTACAAGAACGTGGACTTTTTTGTATAACATCGTTGCCGCTACAACTTTTATCTGAAACATTTTTTCATATCTGTAATAGTTCTTGAAAACAATGAGAACAAAAATGAAAAAATTCATAAAAAAACATTTAAAGGGCGATATATCTTCTACAAAAATTGCATCAAAATTTTATCCACTTCAATATTTCCGCGGATAAGATCTTATGTGACTGGACTAACATGGTTTCTTTGTAATCAGCATTTTTTTTTTAACATAAAATTACTTAGGTGCAAAATAAGAGGTTCGATTTGCTCATTCATTTTCAATAAATGTCAGAAATTTTTTATTGTATCTAAATCTATTATATTTAAATAACAAAAAATTTGCTGGTCTGTAATTATATATTACTCCAAAATCCGAAATATTTACGTCATTGTATTAATTATTGTTGTCAGTTATTGATTTATCTACTACAAATTTCATTATGTAAAACTTTGTTAATGACATTATTAATTTAACATTGTGATAAATTTTAAATTATGTTTAGTGTATAAAAAATGTTAAACAAAATTTATTACGTCATTCTAATACCTTTCATATTGATTGAAATGTTGTATTAGAAAGTACTGGATGGTCAATTTTGACGTAAAAATTTTACACGGTTTTTAATCAAACATAATATCAAAAAATTTCTCTAATAATTTTAATGAGTTAAAATGAAACATAAATAAATTAAAAAATACTTCTTAATGATGAAAAACGTATCTGTTTACAATACACGAAGATAATGCTTTGAACAAAACAATAATTACACGAAAAGAAAATTTCTTCACTGCTCGGTAGTAAAAACAATGAGAAGTACACGATTTGACGTTAAGAAGTAAAATGTGTACACAGAAGTAAATTTTGATTTACTGTAAGTGAAATTCACATCTGGATACACACATTTTTACTTCTTAAGGTCGAATCGTGTACTTCTCATTGTTTTTACTTCCAAGCAGTGAAAAAATTCTCTCCGTGTAGAGATTAGTGTTCTTGCAATGAGTATAGTTTTACGAACAATGAATTTATTGCGACTTGGGATGAAAAATTTTATCAACGATGATCATTATATGATTTCATACTGAAAATAGTATTGGTCACACCGATTGAATCCATTTGTATTATTTACTAGTTATTAACAGATTAATCTTTTTTTTTGCAGATTGACTATTATAACTACCTAGAAATTTTTTGAACTGAACTATAAATTAAATTTAATTCAATTATAAATGTAAAATCACATTAATTTTAAAATAAGTACAAATTTTTTGTGTGTTATTTAGATGGATTCTGTAGACCCTAACACCATTGGATCTTTTATTGCATCTTCAAATAATACATCTGATTACTCTACCGTAAGTCTAATACTATTTTTTCGACAAAAATATTTTCTTTTAATTTTAAAACGCCTAGAACGAAATTATTCAATTTGATGGAATCTATTAAGTACTACTAACTATATATTTTAAAATATTTGTATGAGGGAAATGGGATAATTTTGGTTTGCTGGGGCCAAAGTGGTATTGCTCTCTGTCGCACCCAACGGCGCTAGCGGAGGAAAAGCGCGCTCGGGGGCCCAAGTATTAAAACCTGTATAACTTTTAACAGGTGAAAAATAGAGCAGAATTTTGCATAGATGAATTGTTTAATTTTTAATTCTGCACAAAATCGGCCTGATCGGTGCATTTTCATCAAAATGAGAACGATTTAAATAATTAATTGTTAATAAAAATAATGAAGAAATTGATAAAAAAAAAATTTTTTTCTCTGAAAATGTACTTTAATATCTCCTTTTTTGAAATAAATCGCCACAAAGTGATATTTGTAGCGTTAAGTATTTTTTATTAATTTTCTTAGACGCAACTGAAGCTTTCGTCAATAGTGAAGCTTCAGTCGCGAATAACTGTTTATCTATCATAGATATGAAAAAAAGTTTTCAGTACTTTTTTTATTAAAATTAGATTCTGAACAACTTTTATTTGAAACATTTTTTCATATCTATAATAGAAATCGAGAAATTCGCGATGGGGGGCGGTTTTTCGCGATTTACTCCCCCTCTATGCGTGCCAAACATTTTTGACCTACCCCATCGTGTTCCTCGTAAAATTTCCGATCTAGTCATCTATAAATCATCACTTTGGCCCCAGCAAACCAAAATTATCCCATTTCCCTCATTTGACTGGACTAATTAGAATGTTTATAGCAACGACAGGAGAGTTTGTTTATCTCTCCCGTTATCTTATTATTTGGATTCATTTTACAATATATAATTAATACATTTTACAGAATGATATGATTAATGTCGGTGGTGAATTTGGAAGTAGTGAAACAAACTATTACAGCACAAGTCCTCAAATGGCGTATCAACCAAGAACCCCGACAACAACGCAACAGCTCACACCACAAACACCTAATACACCGACAATAATACTAACTGGTATGTATGTAATTTCGTAATAAGAATTTTATCTCACCCAATTCAATCTCATCTTCCTTGAGATCGACAAATAAATCGTAATATTTTATGGAACTTTGGGACTCGTATCTCTTCTATTTACATTATTCCGTCTTTTGTAAGCTCTAATCGTTTAAAAGTGATAAATTATTAAAGGATGGGTGTCAATAACCTAGATAATTTCTCCCATAAATCACGAAAAATCAAATTATATCACAGAGTTCTATTGCTACATTTTTTTAATATTAGATTACCAACCCTGTGCGTTTTGCGTAATAATAATATATCTTGCCTTTCGAGTGACGGATGGCTGTTTTGAATCAGCTGTTGTGGAAAAAAATAAGTTGTAGCACACCGGTCAATATAGTTGGCAAAAAGAAGAAAGGAAGAAAAACGAAAGCATAATTGTTGGGAAACAAAAGAACATTGGATGAAAAGACTTTACTAAGCAGGTTTCTAGAGATAGAAGAGAATTACTCAAAAGCGGCAGGGGTGAACTATAAATAAATAAATAATACTGGTCTGTGTGGAAAAAAAAGATATACCAAAAGCAGCAGAGTAGTGTAAATGATGTACATAATAGCGAAATCAAGAAAACTGAGACAATGTCAAAACAAACAAAAAAATACAGAAGAAGAGTCAGAAAATAATGTGACAAACAGACATGGGAAGTGCTATGAGAATAATGATAAGAATTGATGCAAATCAGATTCAATGAAATGGAAGATAAAATCACTTTCATGGTTGAAAAAATGTCAAACTTAAAGTTCAATTTCGTTGAAATTATGGATTGGATAAAATAAAGGAGGATGCTGTAAGTAGGAACAACGCGGACTAAAATATTCCTTAACGTATGGAGAAAAAATTTTTTCCAGTCAAGTATGTCTGATTCTTGCTTTATTTACGAAATATTATATAGAATATGTGGATTCATCGGAAAAAGTAATTGTTAAATCAACAAAAAAATATGACGTGGCTGGTTTTTTTGGCTGAGAATTAGTTTATTAAATAGCGCATTTTTCTCTATAAAATGAACCCGGTCCCGACTTGTGCCACGAAATTTCGTATTTAAAATGCACATTGACTGGACTATAAACAGAATGTGCGGAACTGTGTACATAAATAGATCACCAGGTAAACCTTCCTCGTTGTCTATTAAAGAATTGCATTGTGAAGTCTGATTAAGAAGAAAAAGAAGACTAAATTTTGTACTGAAATGAAAAATACACAGTGTGTGGAAAGACAAGACAATTTTTAATGCTGCTATGACAGACCTGCGTATGTCACCAAAAGCTTTGAGTGTAGTTTGCATCAAAGGAACCCTAGTTGTAACAGTGTCAACAATAAGAATTAAGAAGTTGATTTTTGCTCGAAAAACCGAGCTTAAAAGCAAAGAGCTTTTGATTGATGATAATTACACTAAGAGGCAAGCTATCACACAACAATGGCTAAAATATGAAGCATGTAGACTTGCTAAAGAAGGCAATATTACGAGCGTTAGATATATGAAATGACAGATAAATGTAGTATGAAAGAAATGGGATCATTTGATAGGAGACCTCGTTAACTGTTCCTTTCGTCAACATGACGTATCGAACAAATAAAGATAGTATTAAATCTTGATATTGTCATATACAGGAGACGTGGTTAACCAAAAAAAAGAAGCTGTATGGATGAAGAAATTCAACGATAGCCTTCAGTGGTACTTTTTGAATGCTGTTAAAGATAAGTGTATAAAAAAAAGAAGAGCGGTGGGTGGTGAAATAATTGGTGTTAAGAATGTATTAGATGTAAGCGTGAAAGATGGGTATGATGTATAGTTAGTTGGTGATTGTAACGAGCGGATTAGTTATGAGCAAGGTTTTTATAACGAGTATGATGTTTGTAGAAGCTCGCAAAATACTGTATGTAATTTTGAAAGCAAAAAATTACTGAAATTTCGTAATTCCTCTCGTTTAATCCGGGCAAATAGGAGAAAGAAAAATGACGAATCAGAATGTGTTACTTTTGTTGAAGGGGATAATGAAGCTTGCGGTTCTGTTTTGGATCTGCTGATGAGTGTAGGTTCTCAGAGCTGACAAAAAACGGTTTGTCTCAATGTAATACCTAAAATTAAGTCAGATCATCTTTCATTGCGCATTCACCATTGCACCTTGAAAAGGCATTGAGATACACGTATCAAACCCGAGGCCTTACGACATACTACTACGAGTCCGACCTCAATTGGCCAGTTGTACCTAGTTCTACCGGTCATATTTTGAATTTGCAGCCCTAGACACAGAGCTCGGAATTTAGCTTCCCAACGTATCAACTTTATCCGCTTTGGTCGACGGTCGCTAACGCGTCTCACGCTTGGCGGGTTCGGCGTGCTCATATTCAGACTACTATGTAGAGCAATACGAAATAGGGTGCGACGAACTATAATCTGCCGCCGCGTTAACGCCACATATCTTAAAGGACAGAAACATCTATGTAAACACGGGGGCTCTAGATTGGTGGAATAGTGTAAATGCTTTTGGACCTTGGATATGGTGGTGAATATGTTGAATTTGTGGCTCGAGAAAAAGAAAGTACTTAATGAAAATCAAGCTAGTTACAGATGCAATTGTAGTACAAGAGATCACCTTTTCATACTGAATAATCTCATCAGCGACATCAAAAGAGAGAGGGAGAAAAAATTATTTGTAGCCTTCGTAGATTTTAAAGCAGCTTTCCATAAAGTAATTAAACAGCATCTTTTCAACAAATTGAGTTGCATTGGAATAAAAGGCACAATATTCGATATGATCAAGATAATTTATGAAGACACAAAAGTGGTGGTGAAAGATGGTGATATCAAAACCAGGCCTTTCAATTGTAATTCTGGAGTAAGATGAGGATGTGTCCTAAGCTCGAAATTATTTAATTTGTACATTAATGACATGGAAGATGGATGGGTCAATAACAATATAGGTGGTGTAGTATGTGGCAGAAGTTAAATTTTTGTGCGAAAATACGCAGATGAATCTACGATTGTCTCTAAGCTGTGGGAATAGCAATGAAAAAATTGAGCATATTCTTGTATGTAGGAAGGCAAGAGAGTTAGTTAACAAACAGTGCAATAGGGAAATTATCAAGTGGTTGGATAGAACTAATGAACCAAATGTGTATTGGCTTTCAGCGCAGGCTGAATCTAAATTATGTTTTCAAGTCCCAAAGTAACGTATTCTATCTGGCATAAAAAAAAATTGTTCGCATGCCCATACGGGTGTTGTTTTTCTCTGCGAAGGGGGAATGTAACTCCGTCAACTTTAAAACAGACAACAAATTTCAAATTTTGACGATGGTATGATAAAAAATAATATGTTGGCCATAGAAGCGAAGTAAGATATCCTTACCTGAATGTTTGCTACCCTCACCTTCGGTTCAAGATGCAATTTTACACCCACGTCAGAATACCATACTTTGCTCTCTTGGTTAATAATGTACAATTTTTTTCAAACTTTGAGATTTTTGAGATGTCTCGGCAGTGGCTTAGTAGTGCGCTCTTCTGTTCAAATATATAAATATAATCACTGGGTACTAACTACACGAGAAATCTTTATTCGATTTAAGTCCCCCACACCCTGATGTCTCTTTATTAGTCAGTAAAAACCCCATTTTTTATCAGAATACAAAATTCAATATTTTTTTATTACAGATTTTTCAGGCACTGATGACTTGACAAGTACAGAATATACGAAGGATCTTGGCTCAACAATATCTAGTGACTTTGATCCAGACTTGTTCACCTCAGATGATGCCTTAAGACAAGGTTTAGGACCTATTGATTTAGATGGACTGCAAATGCTCACTGATCCTGATATGGTGATATCTGACGCTAATGCCGAAGATCATTTTAGATTAGATCGTCTTTAAGAATAAAACAAGAAGTAACTAAAAAGAAAGTGACAGATACTCTGACTGCAAATAATGTCCCGAGTTTTCGAAATTTAATAGTAAAGTTATTCAAAATATTTTGATATTTTAATTCAATAGTCAAGTTACTGTGACTTGGAATATTAATTTGCAAATAATTTTTTTATAACCTTAAAATTTTATGATAATATTAACCCTCAGTTAGATGTGTAATCTGTTGCAACTTCATTAACTGTGTGATGTTTGTAATATATTATTTTAACACACTACTTTTGCATCAGCAACATGTCAAACCCCACTCCTAACTGATGATTAATAAAAAAGAATGTAAATGTTTTGGTGAGACTAGAAAAAAAAATGTAAGAATGCGTAGAAATGCAATACATAAAATAATACGTTAGTTAAGGGATGAATAGGTACTGACATTTTTGAAGCAAAGAAAAAAAAAATTCATGCTAGGTTCCAACGTAAGTCCAACGTTTAATTTACTCTTTTTTTTAAGAATGATAGACATATAGCGCTGTTTAATAACCTTGCTTTAATTTTTTTTTAAAGTTGAAAAATTCACCTTAGATGCTGAATTCAATTCGATCTTAATAATTGTAACTTTTTCACTGTGAATTTTTCGGAATAAAATTTTTTAGATACAACTATATTATTAGAGGAATGTTTCTTTTATATTCTACAGTAAAAAATATACATGAACGAAATTAATCACTACAAAAATTTTTTTTAAAAAATCAAAAATTTGTTTGCGTAGCGTAAATGGCATACATTACATTTTTTGAAAATATAAAAATGATAAATAACAACGACATATAAACAGTAGACTTATCTTGATTATAATTTCCACTATATTATTCATAAAATTTTCATAATAGAATAATCAATTTAATTTTAAGACCCAGTTATTTTCATCGTTCGTTTTTTGTTTTCATCGAACAATGAAGGAATTATAAGAAGTTTACATAAGAATTATGTCTCATATTTTATTCGATAAAATCAAAAATATATTCGAAAAACTGGTTTAAACATTGACAAAATAATTTGTTCTTTAAATAAAAGAATGCAGTAATAATACGAAATCGTTTTTCGATTTTTTAAATATATTATTCTATGAAATAATCTCTCAAGAGACTTTTTTATGTTAATTTTATTGTGTTTTTAGAAATAGATATTTAAAAAATCATAGATTTTTTGTCTAGGCTTTCTCTTTAAGAATAAACTAATTTAAAATATTTCGATAAAGATTTTTAACTATTTTTAATGACGTTATTATTCTTTATTATTCTGATGCTACACTAATTAAACTATAAAATAAAATATAGATGATGAAATGATATATGTATATAGGGAGAGAAACATTGAAAATTTTACAAATATTGTTGCTATTTCATTCAAAATTATTTTTGAGTAGTACCAGAAAACTTTGCATTACAATATGATCTTTAATAATGTACTTCTATACTTTTATTTGTTTTTTTTTCTTTTTTTTTTTAAGATAAAATATAAATACAAAACATACTATGACAACTTCGTTATGTTGTCGTTGTAAAAAATTTCTTACTTACATATATCTTACATAAAGTTTTAAAAGATTGTCAATGCATAAAAGTTCATCTTAAAAAGAACTTTATTAAGAATTAATATTGTCATTTATTATTACTACCACTTTTTTTATGTATGTAAAATTTTATAATTACATAGTTATAATAACTGGTCGAATACATATAATAACAAGCATCTTTGTTACGCTGTGATACTTCTTATTATCTGCATATCATTTTGAGCCGTTAAACGCATTAACGTTTAAAAATATCAAAAACAGATTTATTCAAAAGTAAGAATACATTATGTCAATTGGATAATCTATTAATTAATTATAAGGTCTGTTAACGGAAACTTTATAAGAAGAATCATAATTTTCATCACGTTAATTTAAATTATACTGTTATACTTTATCTAAAGAGAAAGTTAAGAGTAAAGATCTAAAATAGTACTTATTCTATTTTTTATTCAAAAAAGTATGTGTTAATCACTTGATACATATACATACATACATATGTATATGTATCACTCAAATACCTCTTCGTAATATAATATTTAAAAAAAATTGTAAATAAAATTGTTAATAATAAAAAAATTTAAACATATGGCAAATAGATGCTCTCACTTACACTTACTGCAATTGTCAATTAATTTTTTAAAGTAATAACTTGCTTTTTAAAATCTAACTTTTCTGATAATTTTTTATTAAAATAGAATAAACAACAAAAAATAAAAAAATAAATGCAATCATTTATAAATATATATTATGATATATTGTAAATAAATTATAGTAAAAATAAGATATTCATTTATTATTTTTTTTAATTCCGTGATCAATTAAATTATCTATAAAAGAAGTATCCGGATGAGAAGAACATTTTAAGATTTCTACATTTATCAAAAAACTAGAACAAGAGAGCATCTTCAGCTGCCTTCTAAATGTAAATTTAGTTTATATTCATTTCATATTTTTAATTAATCGAATTTTTGTTAAATTTTTTAATAAAAAAACTTGAATTCTACGTTATTAATTAATTAAATATAATAAAATGTCCTTATTACACAAGTAACAACCAATATCATAATGTTGAAAAAAAGTGCCGTGTTATGTCTCCTCATGTAAAATTTCGATTGTTATTGAGAATATTATGTTCAATAAGAAGCTCTAGTAATGCAACGGAATACAAATGGAAAATTTCCGTAACAATTGTCATTTTTAAATCTTCTACTATTGCCAAATAATTTCAATGAGATAACTTTAAACTATTTAGTAAGAGTTCCCACATTCGCGGAGTATACTCATCAAATTATTTTATCTTTGTTACCATAATGAAAATCTTTATCTGTAAATAGGGACTAAAAAATAAAAAATAGGTCAATTACGAATTTATACTAAAATATATGAGTTATACAATAATAAGTTATAGATAATCGTACAAATTCTCAATTAAATAACCAGTCGATAAAGTACAATAGAAAATCATGTAATAAATCATGTTAATATAATGAGAAGAAAAAATTTGTTAATTTATTTTTTCAAGAGTTTTGCGAAACTACTAAACTAATTCTCATTCTCAAAAAAAATTTTCATTCTGGTGAGACTAAATCATGAAATGGGAATATATTGTTTTCCTATTCATTCTTATAAGGGCGTATAGGGTTTCCCATTTACTCTCTATCATTCTCGTACCATAATTTCGAATTTTTGTACCACCTGTAAGTTCTGATTCATTCTTATAATTTTTCATTGAACATTGAATACGGATCAATCGATTTCTATTGAAAAAAGAATTTATCAATAAGATTTAATAGAAAAGAGAAAACCTAAAACATTTAAGATTTCTTAGAGCCAGAGAATGGAAATCATTCATTGATATGAAGAAATTTATAGATTTAAATGTGTGTACGTTCTCATATTAGTCGTGTGGGTCTTCCGCAGTGCACTCAGACCACTGAAAAGCACAGGTTTTTTTGAAAAATCATTTTTAACGTTTGAAATCTATTTGCATATACATAAAATAAAAAAATTAAATTACATGTCAGTACATGATAAAAGAAAATGATAGGGAAAACAAATAAAAGAAGATCAATTGTTATATATATATATTGTATTTTATAAAGCAAATTTTAACACATTTTCATTTGTTCTATACATTAGAATATTTAACCAATGACATCATAATAAATGAAATTAAAAAAAAATTAGTAATTTCTTGTAGAAGCATACAGAAACCTAAAAAAATTCTAAAATGATGGAATCTATAAAAGACTTCTAAAAATAAAATGAAATAGATAAATATTCTCATTTTTATGATAATTTATAAAAAATCACTAAGTAGCGATGAATCGTAAATTCTTGGATTGGAACAATTTAAACATGAATTTGTGAGTATAAATCATTTACAGCAAATAATAAAATCAAGATGTAGTCATTTAGTAATTATTCAACTCATAACAATTGAAAATTAATGAAAACAAGATGAGATCGTAGATATTTTACTTTGATTCGCTTTATTCTTTCATTTATTTTGGAATATCTAAAATTCATAAGCAAAACTGGAATTTTTGAGGACTTAAATTTTACTGCATACTTATTAACTGGGTGACTTAGCTTCAAATTGGAAGGAATTCTATATAAACAAGTCAATAAGTATTCTTTTGAAGGCGATAAACGTCATCAGAAATAGAATTCATAAATTAGTTTGATCAAAACGACAATTTTACCCTCACTCGTTGAAAGAAGAATGGCACATTGTTCAGGGGACAATAATTCAATTTATGTGTAAATACCCACCACAAAAACACATAAGTCGATGTTTTTAAAAAATCCCAATCCGTTTTACGTAGGAAAAATAGTATGATCAACTCGACACTACGGGAATGTAAAACTTATGTTTTGATGTATCTCTAGTATGTTTAAATGGTGCTTTTTTAGCTTCAATAAGAGCAACAGGACAAGGGCCCTTTACTTTCGGTATGAACTCTTTTTTATACATACTAGAAGCTTCAACAATATCTTCTCCAAGATTAATATGAGATTCATTGGCATGTCTATGTACTCGTTCAACTTTTTGACGACTAAAATTGCCGTAACTGTTAGCTTCAGTACAAGCATAAACTTTATCCCTACAAGCTGAAAAATTATCTTTTTGTATCAATTTTTGTGTTCTACCAGTCACAGAGGATGCCGATGAATTACTTTCTTTACTGCTACGGTGAAGAGAACTAAGACTACGCCGATGTAAACTCTGTGTCGAATTACTAATATACTGTCCAGTTTCGGTGAGACTTGAAATACTTTTTTTTTGATCAGCAGCTGTTGAAGAAATAGTATGATAAGCCTCGGTGGAAGACATAACATTACGGCGATGTAATATTGCATTACTAATATCCGTTGACGAAGAAGAAATAATATTTTTTCTATGATGAGATTTTATCACATCGGTATTACGATGAACTTTTTCCAACAACCGTTGTTCATCGATTGTTTTTGTATAGTCAAACTTTGTTTGACTTGGTGATGAACTTCTACAACTTTGCGAAGACACCAGTCGAATATCTGCACATAAAAAAGTACAATAATATGAACACAGATAAAAAATCTGTAAAACAAAATTTAAACATAGCAAATATACCTTGACGCTCTTTCTCCTTTGGAAAATTTGATATAGGACATTTTTCTCGATTCGTAAGGTCATTCTGTTCGAAAGATAGTTTTCTATTTTCAGAAAAATTTGAACGCTGAAAGAAGTCAGATTCATACACAGAAGGCAATGATTGTCTAAGATTCCTCTCGGGTGTTCGTGAGCAATGATCGTTCAGAGGAACAACTTGCTTCGAGGACCCGGAACGATTTTCATGTAAATAACAAAAGCGTTTAGAAGAGACTACAGAGGATCCTTTAACATCTGAAGAACTATTACTAGTAGAAACATGGGCACTAGAACCGTAATATCCCTGATATTTCGAATTATCCAATGGTTCTTCAACGCCAGAACATTGAACACTTCGTTTAAAAGAAGTTTGTGCTTTGAACCCTTCAGAAGAGGCTCTTTGGAGCTTATCGGAATTACGACTTAGCTGCTGATAATCGGCTTCAACTGGAACATATCAAGAAAATTCAATATCAACCTCAAGACTTGGAGTAACTTCAAAAATATAGTCTAGAAAAAGCTTGTTACCATTAGATGAATTGTGAACCAATGTTCGGGGCGTAGACAATTGCACATCATTGACAACGCCCATTTGGCGAGCAACAGACCGGGAATCGCGACAACTAGAAGAACACTCATTGACTGGCCCCAAAGCACTTGATTTCAAATACTTAACGTGCAAATGATTCTGATTATTTGCACATGAATCATGTCTATGTTTCTGATAACAACTCGCCGTTGTGCTAAACAATTGCTTGTTCGGCAAAGCATTTGAGCACAACCGATCGGCTATAGAATTAGGCAGACACTGGGAACGCTCAAAATAGAACTGGCCTTCCAGTATTAGGTTATCCTGCGGTCTTTTTACATTAGCTCGCTCACCTCGTGTTTGAGATTTCTGTTGAGGCCGCTTTTCGAACTCTCCTTCGGGTTTAAGATGGTCGGCATGTTTGATCGGTTGACGACGTTCAGCAGGACCTACAGGCTCGTGGTGTGGACGGTCAAAATCACCTTCTGGTTTCAAGTTATCCTGCGGTCTTTTCACATCAACTCGCTCTCCTCGTGTTGGAGCTTTCTGTTTAGGCCTCTTTTCGAACTCTCCTTCAGGTTTAAGATGGTCGGCATGTTTGATCGGTTGACGACGTTCAGCAGGACCTACAGGCTCGTGGTGTGGACGATCAAAATCACCTTCGGGTTTCAAGTTATCCTGCGGTCTTATTACATCAGCTCGCTCTCCTCGTGTTGGAGCTTTCTGTTTAGGCCGCTTTTCGAACTCTCCTTCGGGTTTAAGATGGTCAGCATGTTTGATTAGTTGACGACGTTCAGCAGGACCTACAGGCTCGTGGTGTGGACGGTCAAAATCACCTTCAGGCTTCAAGTTATCTTGTGGTCTCTTTACATCAGCTCGCTCTCCTCGGATTGGAGATTTCTGTTCAGGCCGCTTTTCGAACTCTCCTCCGAGTTTAAGATGGTCAGCATGTTTGATCGGTTGACGACGTTCAGCAGGACCTACAGGCTCGTGGTGTGGACGGTCAAAATCACCTTCGGGTTTCAAGTTATCCTGCGGTCTTTTTACATCAGCTCGCTCTCCTCGTGTTGGAGCTTTCTGTTCAGGCCGCTTTTCGAACTCTCCTTCGGGCTTCAAATTGTCAGCATGTTTAATTGGTTGACGACGTTCAGCAGGACCCATTATTTCATAATGCTTACGATCAAGATCTTTTACACGCCGTAAGTTGTTTTGTGATTTTACGTGCATTGTGCAGTCTATCGCTGACGATGTGCGTTCTGAAATGGTTCTCTGATTCACCGAATTTATTTCTTCGATAACTTTTGTGTAAGCATCGTCAACATGGCTACTACAACTATCAATCGCTAATTCATTAACGCTCGTGAATTCTTTAAGATTTCGATTGGTTATATCAATGTGTATATGTTCATTAGGGACGGATTCATTGTTACTGCATAGGAGTATATTGTCTTCTCCAAGATTGACGCCATGACGTTGTGTGCTGAAATCGACTATAGTTTCAGATCGTGATGTACTGTAGTTTGCAGTTTGCCTCATGGAACATTGAGAGTGACCGTAATTTATTATTTCTCCACGATTCAAATTGTCAGCATGTTTGATTGGTTGACGACGTTCAGCAGGACCTACAGGCTCGTGGTGTGGACGGTCAAAATCACCTTCAGGCTTCAAGTTATCTTGTGGTCTCTTTACATCAGCTCGCTCACCTCGGGTTGGAGCTTTCTGTTCAGGCCGCTTTTCGAACTCTCCTTCGGGTTTAAGATGGTCGGCATGTTTGATCGGTTGACGACGTTCAGCAGGACCTACAGGCTCGTGGTGTGGACGGTCAAAATCACCTTCGGGTTTCAAGTTATCCCGCGGTCTCTTTACATCAGCTCGCTCTCCTCGTGTTGGAGCTTTCTGGTCAGGCCGCTTTTCGAACTCTCCTTCGGGCTTCAAATTGTCAGCATGTTTGATCGGTTGACGACGTTCAGCAGGACCTACAGGCTCGTGGTGTGGACGGTCAAAATCACCTTCGGGTTTCAAGTTATCCTGCGGTTTTATTACATCAGCTCGCTCTCCTCGTGTTGGAGCTTTCTGTTCAGGCCGCTTTTCGAACTCTCCTTCGGGTTTAAGATGGTCGGCATGTTTGATTGGTTGACGACGTTCAGCAGGACCTACAGGCTCGTGGTGTGGACGGTCAAAATCACCTTCGGGTTTCAAGTTATCCTGCGGTCTTATTACGTCAGCTCGCTCTCCTCGTGTTGAAGCTTTCTGTTTAGGCCGCTTTTCGAACTCTCCTTCGGGCTTCAAATTGTCAGCATGTTTGATCGGTTGACGACGTTCAGCAGGACCTACAGGCTCGTGGTGTGGACGGTCAAAATCACCTTCAGGCTTCAAGTTATCTTGTGGTCTTTTTACATCAGCTCGCTCACCTCGGGTTGGAGCTTTCTGTTCAGGCCGCTTTTCGAACTCTCCTTCGGGTTTAAGATGGTCGGCATGTTTGATCGGTTGACGACGTTCAGCAGGACCTACAGGCTCGTGGTGTGGACGGTCAAAATCACCTTCGGGTTTCAAGTTATCCTGCGGTCTCTTTACATCAGCTCGCTCTCCTCGTGTTGGAGCTTTCTGTTTAGGCCGCTTTTCGAACTCTCCTTCGGGCTTCAAATTGTCAGCATGTTTGATTGGTTGACGACGTTCAGCAGGACCTACAGGCTCGTGGTGTGGACGGTCAAAATCACCTTCAGGCTTCAAGTTATCTTGTGGTCTTTTTACATCAGCTCGCTCACCTCGGGTTGGAGCTTTCTGTTCAGGCCGCTTTTCGAACTCTCCTTCGGGTTTAAGATGGTCGGCATGTTTGATCGGTTGACGACGTTCAGCAGGACCTACAGGCTCGTGGTGTGGACGGTCAAAATCACCTTCGGGTTTCAAGTTATCCCGCGGTCTTATTACATCAGCTCGCTCTCCTCGTGTTGGAGCTTTCTGTTTAGGCCGCTTTTCGAACTCTCCTTCGGGCTTCAAATTGTCAGCATGTTTGATCGGTTGACGACGTTCAGCAGGACCTACAGGCTCGTGGTGTGGACGGTCAAAATCACCTTCGGGTTTCAAGTTATCCTGCGGTTTTATTACATCAGCTCGCTCTCCTCGTGTTGGAGCTTTCTGTTCAGGCCGCTTTTCGAACTCTCCTTCGGGCTTCAAATTGTCAGCATGTTTGATCGGTTGACGACGTTCAGCAGGACCTACAGGCTCGTGGTGTGGACGGTCAAAATCACCTTCAGGCTTCAAGTTATCTTGTGGTCTTTTTACATCAGCTCGCTCACCTCGGGTTGGAGCTTTCTGTTCAGGCCGCTTTTCGAACTCTCCTTCGGGTTTAAGATGGTCGGCATGTTTGATCGGTTGACGACGTTCAGCAGGACCTACAGGCTCGTGGTGTGGACGGTCAAAATCACCTTCGGGTTTCAAGTTATCCCGCGGTCTTATTACATCAGCTCGCTCTCCTCGTGTTGGAGCTTTCTGGTCAGGCCGCTTTTCGAACTCTCCTTCGGGCTTCAAATTGTCAGCATGTTTGATCGGTTGACGACGTTCAGCAGGACCTACAGGCTCGTGGTGTGGACGGTCAAAATCACCTTCAGGCTTCAAGTTATCTTGTGGTCTTTTTACATCAGCTCGCTCACCTCGGGTTGGAGCTTTCTGTTCAGGCCGCTTTTCGAACTCTCCTTCGGGTTTAAGATGGTCGGCATGTTTGATCGGTTGACGACGTTCAGCAGGACCTACAGGCTCGTGGTGTGGACGGTCAAAATCACCTTCGGGTTTCAAGTTATCCTGCGGTCTCTTTACATCAGCTCGCTCTCCTCGTGTTGGAGCTTTCTGTTTAGGCCGCTTTTCGAACTCTCCTTCGGGCTTCAAATTGTCAGCATGTTTGATTGGTTGACGACGTTCAGCAGGACCTACAGGCTCGTGGTGTGGACGGTCAAAATCACCTTCAGGCTTCAAGTTATCTTGTGGTCTTTTTACATCAGCTCGCTCACCTCGGGTTGGAGCTTTCTGTTCAGGCCGCTTTTCGAACTCTCCTTCGGGTTTAAGATGGTCGGCATGTTTGATCGGTTGACGACGTTCAGCAGGACCTACAGGCTCGTGGTGTGGACGGTCAAAATCACCTTCGGGTTTCAAGTTATCCCGCGGTCTTATTACATCAGCTCGCTCTCCTCGTGTTGGAGCTTTCTGGTCAGGCCGCTTTTCGAACTCTCCTTCGGGCTTCAAATTGTCAGCATGTTTGATCGGTTGACGACGTTCAGCAGGACCTACAGGCTCGTGGTGTGGACGGTCAAAATCACCTTCGGGTTTCAAGTTATCCTGCGGTTTTATTACATCAGCTCGCTCTCCTCGTGTTGGAGCTTTCTGTTCAGGCCGCTTTTCGAACTCTCCTTCGAGTTTAAGATGGTCAGCATGTTTGATCGGTTGACGACATTCAGCAGGACCTACAGGCTCGTGGTGTGGACGGTCAAAATCACCTTCGGGTTTCAAGTTATCCTGCGGTTTTATTACATCAGCTCGCTCTCCTCGTGTTGGAGCTTTCTGTTCAGGCCGCTTTTCGAACTCTCCTTCGGGCTTCAAATTGTCAGCATGTTTAATTGGTTGACGACGTTCAGCAGGACCCATTATTTCATAATGCTTACAATCAAGATCTTTTACACGCCGTAAGTTGTTTTGTGATTTTACGTGCATTGTGCAGTCTATCGCTGACGATGTGCGTTCTGAAATGGTTCTCTGATTCACCGAATTTATTTTTTCGATAACTTGTGTGCAAGCATCGTCAACATGTCTACTACAACTATCAATCGCTAATTCATTAACGCTCGTGAATTCTTTAAGATTTCGATTGGTTATATCAATGTGTATATGTTCATTAGGGACGGATTCATTGTTACTGCATAGGAGTATATTGTCTTCTCCAAGATTGACGCCATGACGTTGTGTGCTGAAATCGACTATAGTTTCAGATCGTGATGTACTGTAGTTTGCAGTTTGCCTCATGGAACATTGTGAGTGACCGTAATTTATTATTTCTCCACGATTCAAATTGTCAGCATGTTTGATTGGTTGACGACGTTCAGCAGGACCTACAGGCTCGTGGTGTGGACGGTCAAAATCACCTTCGGGTTTCAAGTTATCCCGCGGTCTTATTACATCAGCTCGCTCTCCTCGTGTTGGAGCTTTCTGTTTAGGCCGCTTTTCGAACTCTCCTTCGGGCTTCAAATTGTCAGCATGTTTGATTGGTTGACGACGTTCAGCAGGACCTACAGGCTCGTGGTGTGGACGGTCAAAATCACCTTCAGGCTTCAAGTTATCTTGTGGTCTTTTTACATCAGCTCGCTCACCTCGGGTTGGAGCTTTCTGTTCAGGCCGCTTTTCGAACTCTCCTTCGGGTTTAAGATGGTCGGCATGTTTGATCGGTTGACGACGTTCAGCAGGACCTACAGGCTCGTGGTGTGGACGGTCAAAATCACCTTCGGGTTTCAAGTTATCCTGCGGTTTTATTACATCAGCTCGCTCTCCTCGTGTTGGAGCTTTCTGTTTAGGCCGCTTTTCGAACTCTCCTTCGGGCTTCAAATTGTCAGCATGTTTGATTGGTTGACGACGTTCAGCAGGACCTACAGGCTCGTGGTGTGGACGGTCAAAATCACCTTCAGGCTTCAAGTTATCTTGTGGTCTTTTTACATCAGCTCGCTCACCTCGGGTTGGAGCTTTCTGTTCAGGCCGCTTTTCGAACTCTCCTTCGGGTTTAAGATGGTCGGCATGTTTGATCGGTTGACGACGTTCAGCAGGACCTACAGGCTCGTGGTGTGGACGGTCAAAATCACCTTCGGGTTTCAAGTTATCCCGCGGTCTTATTACATCAGCTCGCTCTCCTCGTGTTGGAGCTTTCTGGTCAGGCCGCTTTTCGAACTCTCCTTCGGGCTTCAAATTGTCAGCATGTTTGATCGGTTGACGACGTTCAGCAGGACCTACAGGCTCGTGGTGTGGACGGTCAAAATCACCTTCGGGTTTCAAGTTATCCTGCGGTCTTTTTACATCAGCTCGCTCCCCTCGTGTTGGAGCTTTCTGTTTAGGCCGCTTTTCGAACTCTCCTTCGGGCTTCAAATTGTCAGCATGTTTGATCGGTTGACGACGTTCAGCAGGACCTACAGGCTCGTGGTGTGGACGGTCAAAATCACCTTCAGGCTTCAAGTTATCTTGTGGTCTCTTTACATCAGCTCGCTCACCTCGTGTTGGAGATTTCTGTTCAGGCCGCTTTTCGAACTCTCCTTCGAGTTTAAGATGGTCAGCATGTTTGATCGGTTGACGACGTTCAGCAGGACCTACAGGCTCGTGGTGTGGACGGTCAAAATCACCTTCGGGTTTCAAGTTATCCTGCGGTCTCTTTACATCAGCTCGCTCTCCTCGTGTTGGAGCTTTCTGTTCAGGCCGCTTTTCGAACTCTCCTTCGGGTTTAAGATGGTCGGCATGTTTGATTGGTTGACGACGTTCAGCAGGACCTACAGGCTTGTGGTGTGGACGGTCAAAATCACCTTCGGGTTTCAAGTTATCCTGCGGTCTTTTTACATCAGCTCGCTCTCCTCGTGTTGGAGCTTTCTGTTCAGGCCGCTTTTCGAACTCTCCTCCGAGTTTAAGATGGTCAGCATGTTTGATCGGTTGACGACGTTCAGCAGGACCTACAGGCTCGTGGTGTGGACGGTCAAAACCACCTTCGGGTTTCAAGTTATCCTGCGGTCTCTTTACATCAGCTCGCTCTCCTCGTGTTGGAGCTTTCTGTTTAGGCCGCTTTTCGAACTCTCCTTCGGGCTTCAAATTGTCAGCATGTTTGATCGGTTGACGACGTTCAGCAGGACCTACAGGCTCGTGGTGTGGACGGTCAAAATCACCTTCAGGCTTCAAGTTATCCTGCGGTCTTATTACATCAGCTCGCTCTCCTCGTGTTGGAGCTTTCTGTTTAGGCCGCTTTTCGAACTCTTCTTCGGGCTTCAAATTGTTAGCATGTTTGATTGGTTGACGACGTTCAGCAGGACCTACAGGCTCGTGGTGTGGACGGTCAAAATCACCTTCAGGCTTCAAGTTATCTTGTGGTCTCTTTACATCAGCTCGCTCACCTCGGGTTGGAGCTTTCTGTTCAGGCCGCTTTTCGAACTCTCCTTCGGGCTTCAAATTGTCGGCATGTTTGATCGGTTGACGACGTTCAGCAGGACCTACAGGCTCGTGGTGTGGACGGTCAAAACCACCTTCGGGTTTCAAGTTATCCTGCGGTCTCTTTACATCAGCTCGCTCTCCTCGTGTTGGAGCTTTCTGTTTAGGCCGCTTTTCGAACTCTCCTTCGGGCTTCAAATTGTCAGCATGTTTGATCGGTTGACGACGTTCAGCAGGACCTACAGGCTCGTGGTGTGGACGGTCAAAATCACCTTCAGGCTTCAAGTTATCCTGCGGTCTTTTTACATCAGCTCGCTCACCTCGGGTTGGAGCTTTCTGTTCAGGCCGCTTTTCGAACTCTCCTTCGGGCTTCAAATTGTCGGCATGTTTGATCGGTTGACGACGTTCAGCAGGACCTACAGGCTCGTGGTGTGGACGGTCAAAATCACCTTCGGGTTTCAAGTTATCCTGCGGTCTCTTTACATCAGCTCGCTCTCCTCGTGTTGGAGCTTTCTGTTTAGGCCGCTTTTCGAACTCTCCTTCGGGCTTCAAATTGTCAGCATGTTTGATCGGTTGACGACGTTCAGCAGGACCTACAGGCTCGTGGTGTGGACGGTCAAAATCACCTTCAGGCTTCAAGTTATCTTGTGGTCTCTTTACATCAGCTCGCTCACCTCGGGTTGGAGCTTTCTGTTCAGGCCGCTTTTCGAACTCTCCTTCGGGCTTCAAATTGTCGGCATGTTTGATCGGTTGACGACGTTCAGCAGGACCTACAGGCTCGTGGTGTGGACGGTCAAAATCACCTTCGGGTTTCAAGTTATCCTGCGGTCTCTTTACATCAGCTCGCTCTCTTCGTGTTGGAGCTTTCTGTTCAGGCCGCTTTTCGAACTCTCCTTCGGGTTTCAAATTGTCAGCATGTTTGATCGGTTGACGACGTTCAGCAGGACCTACAGGCTCGTGGTGTGGACGGTCAAAATCACCTTCGGGTTTCAAGTTATCCTGCGGTCTTTTTACATCAGCTCGCTCTCCTCGTGTTGGAGCTTTCTGTTTAGGCCGCTTTTCGAACTCTCCTTCGGGCTTCAAATTGTCAGCATGTTTGATCGGTTGACGACGTTTAGCAGGACCTACAGGCTCGTGGTGTGGACGGTCAAAATCACCTTCGGGTTTCAAGTTATCCTGCGGTTTTATTACATCAGCTCGCTCTCCTCGTGTTGGAGCTTTCTGTTCAGGCCGCTTTTCGAACTCTCCTTCGAGTTTAAGATGGTCAGCATGTTTGATCGGTTGACGACCTTCAGCAGGACCTACAGGCTCGTGGTGTGGACGGTCAAAATCACCTTCGGGTTTCAAGTTATCCTGCGGTCTTTTTACATCAGCTCGCTCACCTCGTGTTGGAGCTTTCTGTTCAGGCCGCTTTTCGAACTCTCCTTCGGGTTTAAGATGGTCGGCATGTTTGATTGGTTGACGACGTTCAGCAGGACCTACAGGCTCGTGGTGTGGACGGTCAAAATCACCTTCGGGTTTCAAGTTATCCTGCGGTCTTTTTACATCAGCTCGCTCTTCTCGTGTTGGAGCTTTCTGTTCAGGCCGCTTTTCGAACTCTCCTCCGAGTTTAAGATGGTCAGCATGTTTGATCGGTTGACGACGTTCAGCAGGACCTACAGGCTCGTGGTGTGGACGGTCAAAATCACCTTCAGGCTTCAAGTTATCCTGCGGTCTTATTACATCAGCTCGCTCTCCTCGTGTTGGAGCTTTCTGTTCAGGCCGCTTTTCGAACTCTCCTTCGGGCTTCAAATTGTCGGCATGTTTGATCGGTTGACGACGTTCTGCAGGACCCATTATTTCATAATGCTCACGATCAAGATCTTTCACACGCCGTAAGTTGTTTTGTGATTTTACGTGCATTGTGCAGTCTATCGCTGACGATGTGCGTTCTGAAATGGTTCTCTGATTCACCGAATTTATTTCTTCGATAACTTTTGTGTAAGCATCGTCAACATGTCTACTACAACTATCAATCGCTAATTCATTAACGCTCGTGAATTCTTTAAGACTTCGATTGGTTATATCAATGTGTATATGTTCATTAGGGACGGATTCATTGTTACTGCATAGGAGTATATTGTCTTCTCCAAGATTGACGCCATGACGTTGTGTGCTGAAATCGACTATAGTTTCAGATCGTGATGTACTGTAGTTTGCAGTTTGCCTCATGGAACATTGGGAGTGACCGTAATTTATTATTTCTCCACGATTCAAATTGTCAGCATGTTTGATTGGTTGACGACGTTCAGCAGGACCTACAGGCTCGTGGTGTGGACGGTCAAAATCACCTTCGGGTTTCAAGTTATCCCGCGGTCTTATTACATCAGCTCGCTCTCCTCGTGTTGGAGCTTTCTGTTCAGGCCGCTTTTCGAACTCTCCTTCGGGTTTAAGATGGTCAGCATGTTTGATCGGTTGACGACGTTCAGCAGGACCTACAGGCTCGTGGAGTGGACGGTCAAAATCACCTTCAGGCTTCAAGTTATCCTGCGGTTTTATTACATCAGCTCGCTCACCTCGGGTTGGAGCTTTCTGTTTAGGCCTCTTTTCGAACTCTCCTTCGGGTTTAAGATGGTCAGCATGTTTGATTGGTTGACGACGCTCAGCAGGACCTACAGGCTCGTGGTGTGGACGATCAAAATCACCTTCGGGTTTCAAGTTATCCTGCGGTCTTTTCACATCAGCTCGCTCTCCTCGTGTTGGAGCTTTCTGGTCAGGCCGCATTTCGAACTCTCCTTCGGGTTTAAGATGGTCAGCATGTTTGATTGGTTGACGACGTTCAGCAGGACCTACAGACTCGTGGTGTGGACGGTCAAAATCACCTTCTGGTTTCAAGTTATCCTGCGGTCTTTTTACATCAGCTCGCTCTCCTCGTGTTGGAGCTTTCTGTTCAGGCCGCTTTTCGAACTCTCCTTCGGGCTTCAAATTGTCAGCATGTTTAATTGGTTGACGACGTTCAGCAGGACCTACAGGCTCGTGGTGTGGACGGTCAAAATCACCTTCGGGTTTCAAGTTATCCTGCGGTCTTTTTACATCAGCTCGCTCTCCTCGTGTTGGAGCTTTCTGTTTAGGCCGCTTTTCGAACTCTCCTTCAGGCTTCAAATTGTCAGCATGTTTGATCGGTTGACGACGTTCAGCAGGACCTACAGGCTCGTGGTGTGGACGGTCAAAATCACCTTCGGGTTTCAAGTTATCCTGCGGTTTTATTACATCAGCTCGCTCTCCTCGTGTTGGAGCTTTCTGTTCAGGCCGCTTTTCGAACTCTCCTTCGGGTTTAAGATGGTCAGCATGTTTGATTGGTTGACGACGTTCAGCAGGACCTACAGGCTCGTGGTGTGGACGGTCAAAATCACCTTCGGGTTTCAAGTTATCCTGCGGTCTCTTTACATCAGCTCGCTCTCCTCGTGTTGGAGCTTTCTGTTCAGGCCGCTTTTCGAACTCTCCTTCGGGTTTAAGATGGTCAGCATGTTTGATTGGTTGACGACGCTCAGCAGGACCTACAGGCTCGTGGTGTGGACGATCAAAATCACCTTCGGGTTTCAAGTTATCCTGCGGTCTTTTCACATCAGCTCGCTCTCCTCGTGTTGGAGCTTTCTGGTCAGGCCGCATTTCGAACTCTCCTTCGGGTTTAAGATGGTCAGCATGTTTGATTGGTTGACGACGTTCAGCAGGACCTACAGACTCGTGGTGTGGACGGTCAAAATCACCTTCTGGTTTCAAGTTATCCTGCGGTCTTTTTACATCAGCTCGCTCTCCTCGTGTTGGAGCTTTCTGTTCAGGCCGCTTTTCGAACTCTCCTTCGGGCTTCAAATTGTCAGCATGTTTAATTGGTTGACGACGTTCAGCAGGACCTACAGGCTCGTGGTGTGGACGGTCAAAATCACCTTCGGGTTTCAAGTTATCCTGCGGTCTCTTTACATCAGCTCGCTCTCCTCGTGTTGGAGCTTTCTGTTCAGGCCGCTTTTCGAACTCTCCTTCGGGCTTCAAATTGTCGGCATGTTTGATCGGTTGACGACGTTCAGCAGGACCTACAGGCTCGTGGTGTGGACGGTCAAAATCACCTTCTGGTTTCAAGTTATCCTGCGGTCTTTTCACATTAGCTCGCTCTCCTCGTGTTGGAGCTTTCTGTTCAGGCCGCTTTTCGAACTCTCCTTCGGGCTTCAAATTGTCAGCATGTTTGATCGGTTGACGACGTTCAGCAGGACCTACAGGCTCGTGGTGTGGACGGTCAAAATCACCTTCTGGTTTCAAGTTATCCTGCGGTCTTTTTACATCAGCTCGCTCTCCTCGTGTTGGAGCTTTCTGTTCAGGCCGCTTTTCGAACTCTCCTTCGGGTTTAAGATGGTCAGCATGTTTGATTGGTTGACGACGTTCAGCAGGACCTACAGGCTCGTGGTGTGGACGGTCAAAATCACCTTCTGGTTTCAAGTTATCCTGCGGTCTTTTTACATCAGCTCGCTCTCCTCGTGTTGGAGCTTTCTTTTCAGGCCGCTTTTCGAACTCTCCTTCGGGCTTCAAATTGTCAGTATGTTTGATCGGTTGACGACGTTCAGCAGGACCTACAGGCTCGTGGTGTGGACGGTCAAAATCACCTTCGGGTTTCAAGTTATCCTGCGGTCTTTTTACATCAGCTCGCTCTCCTCGTGTTGGAGCTTTCTGTTCAGGCCGCTTTTCGAACCCTCCTTCGGGTTTAAGATGGTCAGCATGTTTGATTGGTTGACGACGTTCAGCAGGACCTACAGGCTCGTGGTGTGGACGGTCAAAATCACCTTCGGGTTTCAAGTTATCCTGCGGTCTTTTTACATCAGCTCGCTCTCCTCGTGTTGGAGCTTTCTGTTCAGGCCGCTTTTCGAACTCTCCTTCGGGCTTCAAATTGTCAGCATGTTTAATTGGTTGACGACGTTCAGCAGGACCTACAGGCTCGTGGTGTGGACGGTCAAAATCACCTTCGGGTTTCAAGTTATCCTGCGGTCTTTTTACATCAGCTCGCTCTCCTCGTGTTGGAGCTTTCTGTTTAGGCCGCTTTTCGAACTCTCCTTCAGGCTTCAAATTGTCAGCATGTTTGATCGGTTGACGACGTTCAGCAGGACCTACAGGCTCGTGGTGTGGACGGTCAAAATCACCTTCGGGTTTCAAGTTATCCTGCGGTTTTATTACATCAGCTCGCTCTCCTCGTGTTGGAGCTTTCTGTTCAGGCCGCTTTTCGAACTCTCCTTCGGGTTTAAGATGGTCAGCATGTTTGATTGGTTGACGACGTTCAGCAGGACCTACAGGCTCGTGGTGTGGACGGTCAAAATCACCTTCGGGTTTCAAGTTATCCTGCGGTCTCTTTACATCAGCTCGCTCTCCTCGTGTTGGAGCTTTCTGTTCAGGCCGCTTTTCGAACTCTCCTTCGGGTTTAAGATGGTCAGCATGTTTGATTGGTTGACGACGCTCAGCAGGACCTACAGGCTCGTGGTGTGGACGATCAAAATCACCTTCGGGTTTCAAGTTATCCTGCGGTCTTTTCACATCAGCTCGCTCTCCTCGTGTTGGAGCTTTCTGGTCAGGCCGCATTTCGAACTCTCCTTCGGGTTTAAGATGGTCAGCATGTTTGATTGGTTGACGACGTTCAGCAGGACCTACAGACTCGTGGTGTGGACGGTCAAAATCACCTTCTGGTTTCAAGTTATCCTGCGGTCTTTTTACATCAGCTCGCTCTCCTCGTGTTGGAGCTTTCTGTTCAGGCCGCTTTTCGAACTCTCCTTCGGGCTTCAAATTGTCAGCATGTTTAATTGGTTGACGACGTTCAGCAGGACCTACAGGCTCGTGGTGTGGACGGTCAAAATCACCTTCGGGTTTCAAGTTATCCTGCGGTCTCTTTACATCAGCTCGCTCTCCTCGTGTTGGAGCTTTCTGTTCAGGCCGCTTTTCGAACTCTCCTTCGGGCTTCAAATTGTCGGCATGTTTGATCGGTTGACGACGTTCAGCAGGACCTACAGGCTCGTGGTGTGGACGGTCAAAATCACCTTCTGGTTTCAAGTTATCCTGCGGTCTTTTCACATTAGCTCGCTCTCCTCGTGTTGGAGCTTTCTGTTCAGGCCGCTTTTCGAACTCTCCTTCGGGCTTCAAATTGTCAGCATGTTTGATCGGTTGACGACGTTCAGCAGGACCTACAGGCTCGTGGTGTGGACGGTCAAAATCACCTTCTGGTTTCAAGTTATCCTGCGGTCTTTTTACATCAGCTCGCTCTCCTCGTGTTGGAGCTTTCTGTTCAGGCCGCTTTTCGAACTCTCCTTCGGGTTTAAGATGGTCAGCATGTTTGATTGGTTGACGACGTTCAGCAGGACCTACAGGCTCGTGGTGTGGACGGTCAAAATCACCTTCTGGTTTCAAGTTATCCTGCGGTCTTTTTACATCAGCTCGCTCTCCTCGTGTTGGAGCTTTCTTTTCAGGCCGCTTTTCGAACTCTCCTTCGGGCTTCAAATTGTCAGTATGTTTGATCGGTTGACGACGTTCAGCAGGACCTACAGGCTCGTGGTGTGGACGGTCAAAATCACCTTCGGGTTTCAAGTTATCCTGCGGTCTTTTTACATCAGCTCGCTCTCCTCGTGTTGGAGCTTTCTGTTCAGGCCGCTTTTCGAACCCTCCTTCGGGTTTAAGATGGTCAGCATGTTTGATTGGTTGACGACGTTCAGCAGGACCTACAGGCTCGTGGTGTGGACGGTCAAAATCACCTTCGGGTTTCAAGTTATCCTGCGGTCTTTTTACATCAGCTCGCTCTCCTCGTGTTGGAGCTTTCTGTTCAGGCCGCTTTTCGAACTCTCCTTCGGGTTTAAGATGGTCAGCATGTTTAATTGGTTGACGACGTTCAGCAGGACCTACAGGCTCGTGGTGTGGACGGTCAAAATCACCTTCTGGTTTCAAGTTATCCTGCGGTCTCTTCACATCAGCTCGCTCTCCTCGTGTTGGAGCTTTCTGTTTAGGCCGCTTTTCGAACTCTCCTTCGGGCTTCAAATTGTCAGCATGTTTGATCGGTTGACGACGTTCAGCAGGACCTACAGGCTCGTGGTGTGGACGGTCAAAATCACCTTCAGGCTTCAAGTTATCCTGCGGTCTTTTTACATCAGCTCGCTCTCCTCGTGTTGGAGCTTTCTGTTCAGGCCGCTTTTCGAACTCTCCTTCGGGTTTAAGATGGTCAGCATGTTTAATTGGTTGACGACGTTCTGCAGGACCTACAGGCTCGTGGTGTGGACGGTCAAAATCACCTTCTGGTTTTAAGTTATCCTGCGGTCTTTTCACATCAGCTCGTTCACCTCGTGTTTGAGCTTTCTGTTGAGGCCGCTTTTCGAACTCTCCTTCGGGTTTAAGATGGTCGGCATGTTTGATCGGTTGACGACGTTCAGCAGGACCTACAGGCTCGTGGTGTGGACGGTCAAAATCACCTTCTGGTTTCAAGTTATCCTGCGGTCTTTTCACCTTAGTTCGCTCTCCTCGTGTTGGAGCTTTCTGTTCAGGCCGCTTTTCGAACTCTCCTTCAGGCTTCAAATTGTCGGCATGTTTGATCGGTTGACGACGTTCAGCAGGACCTACAGGCTCGTTGTGTGAGTGATCGAAATTTCTCTCTAGTTTCAATTTGTCTGGAGCTCCTATAACCTTACTGTGGCGATCGTAGTCATCTAATATTTCCATGTGGTTTCTGTTTTTGTCCGATTCTTTTTTGTCCGTTATTTTTGTCTCTTTTGTTTTCTCTTCATTGTTTGTGGTATGTATGATCTCTCTGTTATCACCCTCTATTTTGTGTGTACAGTGATGTCGTCTGAAAATTTTTTTTTAATAGTTATGTGTATTTCCAGTTTGTTATTGATCTTTAAGAAATTAATGTATGTTACTGTGTTGTTTGTGAGGACTGTTTTTTTTTATTGTTTTTTATTCGTGTAGTATTTTTGTCCGGCTTTTGACCCCTAGAGTAGTGTTTGAGTCTATTTGTTCGAACAGTTTTTCATGAGAGTTGTAGGTTACATTCGGTATGAATAACACTTACCCACAAGTACATAATTGACAAATACATTGTTCTTGAATCGGCATACTCTCTATTGTTACATTCTCCGTTTCTGACTTGTCCCGTTTTACGTTCTGCAATATTCTTTTTGTCACGATATTCTCTGAAGTAATATTATGGGTTGAAGTGCCTTGTTGTCTTCTTATTTCTTCTTCCGAAATTATGGAGTCATCATTGTTTTGTATCTTCTGATTGCATTCGGATTGTTTGTATATCGTTGGCATCACGTGATCCCTCGGTCTCTTAGATAACATTGGCGTCTTTCCCGAAAACCTGCAAAACGTTTTTATTATTAAAATCTCGAATTGTGTTTTATGTGTGTATTTTCTGTGTGTTAGATTTTTTCCACTCTATTACGTTATAAAATCTTGTTTGCAAACTTTTACTTAGATTCTTAAAAGATATTTTTTATATATTTATGCACTTTATAAAGGTTTCGATACATACTCGGTAATTTTTTTTTCCTGATTATTTGATTTATTTGCCATTGTTTCACGTTCGACATTTTGTTGTAACTTCCACACATCTGATAGATTCTTGGCTTGTTGGGTTATATCTTGTTTTATTGACGGTGCTACATTTTTCTTTTCTAAATTCTTGATTTGGTTCCTATCTTCAAAATTGACGCTTGACGATTCAGTAGCTTTTATCTACAAAGAAATATAATTTATTTTTTTTGGTCTAATACTTGTTTTGTCGGGTTACGTTTAATGAATATATCATATCGCTTCGATATTCAAAAATTCCGCGATTGAAGATCACTTTATACTGTTTATCTTTAAAAATGTATCTTTATTTACATAAGATTTTACCGATTATTACATTTGTAAATATAAAGTACATGTAATTGTATTCTTTAAGTATTTGCTTTCTTTTATACGTTATACACATTTTCGATCAGTAAATTCTTACATAAATAGAAATGTGTTTCGCAAAATATCTCTTCTTTCATTTTTCTTCATTGAGATAATGTATTTCAAAACATCTGTTCATTTGCATGTGTATATCGAATAGTAATTTTTGCATGAACATTTCTAAATTCATGAAAAAGGCTGATTTAAACCTGGGGAAGGAATTTCCTGTTAGAGATGCTTGATCTTTCACTGTTAATGCACGCAACTATACAGACTTCTTGGCCCGTTTAACGACCCGAAACAATACAACATAATTTCAATTTTTCTGTAAGTAAAATCATCCCGTTTTGTTATTCCAATTCTGTTTATCAGAAGGTGTGAGAAATTAGCTCGTATTGCCAATGAACGTTAACCAAAAATTACACTGCTTGTACAGTGTGAAGATCAAAATCTCATCGAGACATCCTCCGCCTTGTGAGCTGTGTGTACAAAAATGCGTGCCAAATATAAATAATGACGATAATCTATTTCACACTCAGCTTTATTGATGCCTTCCCTATACTATATGAGTTACTACCGATTGAGATGAAATTTTTTAAAGTTTTTAATCATAAATTTTGTAATCTTGGGTCGTAATTAAAATAATTCACCTGTGTACTAAAATGCATGACACAGAGGAGAGTTAGCTGCTTCAGTTTAATTGATTGAATTTAAGTAATTTATGTCTTTTTGAGTATGAATTCGATTGGCTCGTTTTAGTTAATTTTAGTATGATCGAAATTAAAATGAAAATGTCCTTTGCTTTTTTTATTTCTATTTCTTCTTACTACTAGCTATTAATAATTAACAACGGAAGTAAATACCAAATATATGCAGACACTATTTAGAGAAATTTTTTATAACAAATTATTTTCCATTTATTTCTTTTGTTCAAAAATTGTAAAAAAATCAAATTTTTGTGAAGAAAGCACGTGTGAAGCGTGCCCTATATTTACTAGTGCTACTATGAAATGGTTTAAAAATATTGAACGCCAAGTATTTAAGTCTAAGAGTTACAAATATTTGAAGTAATTAATTTTTTCCTTTATTTTTTTAAATAGTTTGGTACGTTGCATAAAACAATAAACATAACAACGAAAACTTGGTGTGACTGTCATTTATCAATTGGCTTAAATATTTTCAATATAAGAGAAATTTCATGCTTTGATAAAATCTTAACACTTACATTTTGATGAAACGTCAACATATTACTATTTCGCGTTGAATTTTCTTTGATATATTTATAATTAGTAAATATAATAAGTGCATTTGTTTCATTTTCGCATAAATCCTACTGAGGTCAGGTCTTGCAGGACTTTATTTTAGCAGATTTCAGTTGTTATAATGAAGAATACTTTAATGTACCATGTTCTGTACAACTGAATCAGTAAAAATTCTACTGTTTCATCCAGTTTGCTGTAATTTTACTGTAAAATCAGTTATTGTAGATCCATTTACTAATTAAGTGAGTAAAAATCTTGAAAATTCATTTCAGGGTTATGGATCATGATGTTGCGCATTTTGATATTTTATGATGATTCATTAATTTGCAGTTTTCAGTGTGTATAGTTTACCCAGTAAAATTAAATAATTTTTATGTGTTCATTGATAAATATATTTTCAACACGAATATGAAGAGAAGAAGTTCAGCAAAATAATCCTTAGGGTTTAAATAACTTTTTCTTAAGATAAACTATATTCCTATTTGATAGATATTTCGAAGATAGAATAAGTTTTAGTGTCATATCATTAACGAATTTTGATATATTTGAATTAAAAAAGCAAATTCCTGCGTCTTCGTCCGCGAATAAGCTAATTGTAGAAACCTATTGTGCTATGTGATAGGATATAATAAAAAAATGAATTCATGTTTAAGTATTGATAATGAAAAAGAAATAATCCGAACTCTATCGTAATACTTAACCATACCAAAAACATCCCCATGTACTGTACAAAATTGAGCGCCAAGTTTAAATAACGAGGACGATAATCTTTGTTCTTTAAATGCTATTTCCTTACAAAAAGTAAGTAAAAGTCGTGAAATAATTATATACCAGGTATTGCATTTGAAAAAAATCAATTATTTTTATCGAAGTCAGATAAATTCTGTCATTTCTTATGATAAATTTCATAAAAGAAAAAATTTTCAAAACAAAGAATCAGCAATGGAAAAACTTGAAACTTGTGTTGGGATGGTAAAAATAACATTGAAGACAATATAATAGTCAATAATGATTGTTGATAATATGAAATTGTGTTCATAACAATTTAATATTATAATAAAAAATGATTATTGATCATGATATTATTTAAATAACAAATTTTAAATTGTTATAAACAATAAAAATAAAGGTCTATGCAATATATCTGAATTCTTCCAACGCGTAATTTTCTATTTTACTAAAATAAAGTTACCAACTTGTAAATTGTTTTCATCACTAATGTGAAGATACTAACTATGTATCATGATTAACATCAATTTTTTTTTTTATAACAATTACATTGTTGTCAAGGAACAAAAATTTAATTTCATGTTAAATTCCAAATTTCCGCTGGGAAGTTGGTCGTGTGGATCTTTCGGATCGCACCCAGACCACTGCAGAGCACTGATATTTTTTTTAAGATGTTTTTATTACACACAGGCAGAGAAATGTATAGTAAAAATTACCCTAAATTTTATGGTAATTTGGTGACACTGCAGGGTGACGGTAAAAATTACCATACACATTCTAAAAAATACTTTGCACATTGTTGAATTTACTAAACTGCATAGTAATTTTTAGGGTGATAGTAGAGTAAAAATGTTTTGAAATTTTAGGTGATACTTATGAATGGGAAGTAGTATTTTTAAATACTTTCACTAATTTGATAATAACTAATATAGTTTATGGATCGAATAATGTCAAATTCATTGTAAAAAAATGGATGTAGTTTTATCTTATATTTTCAATACTATGTTTATCATAAATAAAAAAAATTGTAACAATTATTTACCTCTTTCATCGTCCTAATCACTTTAATTCTGAAATAGTCCACAATTAATAAAATCATTACTAAAATATTAGTAGGAATCGATAAAAATAATCAAATCAGTATTAATTTTTTAATAAAAATACAAATAAAATTTATTGTAATCCATAGAAAATTTATTACTTTTTTGTGAATTTTTACCTTTCTTATTCAATAATTTTAATTCTCACTTGTGAATTTGTCTTTTCTGATTTAGTAATTTTAATGTTTGTTTGGGAATTTTTTTTTCTTTCATTCAATCATTTTACTGCTCATCGATTAATAATTTTTGTGCTGCTTGTTTATTAATTATTACGGTTCCGTATGGTAAAACATCAGTATATACTCCAAATCTTAACTAATCTTTCTTATAGAGCAAGTAGAATTTACTCTAAATTAATTACTTAATTATAGTATACATATTACAGCATTAACTCCATAGATAAGATGTATAGGGTTTAGCGGGTCTTTCAATGGGTAGACAGAAAAACCGGTAATGGCTAAAAACTAACTAATAAAAATGATTTGAATAATAATTAAAAAATTGTTTTCATTAGATGATATACGTATATGTTAAATACCAATTCTACGTGTACGCAGTATAAAGATTGCGGGAAACGCTGATTTTAGACCTAAGTAAAGAATATTCTTCTATTGGGGAGATTTGGACCTATGACCGCTTAACGCACGCAACTTTAGCCTGCTCGGCTATCCGAAACTGTTGAATATGTTTTACAGTCAAAGCTCATTAGTGTTACACTCCCGTTAGTGTTGACAGGATGATTTCGCTAGTGTTGCTCGTCTTTCGCCCCACTCCGATCTCTCTAATAACCAATGAAATCTTGCGTGAGTAGCGCGTATTTTAAATTCAATTAACACTATAGTTAACATGTATGTTAAATACAGGTTATGTATCACACGTATGTATCCTTGCTCTATTTTTATTTTCTGCGCATTCTTATGCGCAATGAGGAGAATAGGTTCACGGAGTAGTAGGGATATAAGGGAACGACAACACTAACGAATGATCCTGGACGGACGTGTCAACACTAACGAGCTTCGACTGTACATTTTTATGTTTATATAACAATAACAAAGTTAGGCTACCAGGTGGTGGAGTATATTTTACTAGATAAAAAAGTAGAATGTTTGAAATTACTTCTAGTAGGAGTAAATAATACTATTCGAGGAAGTAAAATCTACCAAATTCGAAGTAAAAAATACTAAAAATGATTTACTATGATTATTCAAGTAGTAAATTTTACTAAAAACGAAGTACGAAATACTAGAAAAATTTTACTTTCTCCGTAGAGTAAAAAGTACTCCTTCATTTTTCTCCGTGTATTTTTCATTTTTTATCTTTGTAATGAATGAATGGAATAATTATAAAATGTTTTTCATTGAGTGATAATTCTAAACATTTTTTCTTAATATTTTCTGATGAAATAGTTGCATGTTGAAAAATGGTGGTCCATATACATATATGTAATGGTCATATTTTATTTAATAAGTCGATAGCCAAACTGTAAAGGCATCGGTTTGAGTTGCGCAAAGTAGTAGTCGTAGGTTCGAATTCCGTCAAGTACAATATTCAATTATTCGATTGTCCGTGGAAATTTCATGAATTATAATTAATTAATAATATTTCTCATGAGTATTTTTTTCATTAGTAACAAAACTGTAACATTACGATAATATAACAGTTATATTATCGTCGACAGGTTAGTGATAGGCCTGGCTTATAACATCTATGAGAGCTCTGATCCTCTTCTCAAATTCCTGAACAACTTTAAAGTACTGAGAAGGGATGCGTTCCTTTGTAAAGCAGCATATCATGCGGCGGGTTTTCTGAGACCGAAGGATTCATTATGGTCTGCAGGATAATTTTATCTGGTCAGGCCTCAGATGGGTCGGAGCCCTAGAATTCTTGACCAGACATTCATTGACGAATAGCAAGATAATAATAATAATAATAATAATAATAATAATAATAATAATAATAATAATAATAACATTGAGTTCTCAGCCCCGGCTGAGACAAATATACGTGCAAAAGAAGAGAGTAAACAGGAACGCTACAGAGAGCTCATGGAGGTCATGAGAAATGTCTATCACGAATACACAGCGCACGTGATAGTCCTGGTGATTGGCGCCCTCGGAGGGATGAGGGACCGCTTTCTGACAGAGCTTCGAACAATACCAGTCTGCCGTAGTCAGGCTGAGATTCTCGCGGCACGTATGCAGAAAGCGGTCATCCTTGGTTCTCTCCGAATCCTGAGACGACTGTAACAAATGACTGAACGGCTGCAGCCCCGGCTCACCCTCAAACCTGAGGGAGTCAGGTGCCTGCAGGATAATTCCGTCTGGTCAGGCCCCAGGTGGGTCGGAGCCCTGGGATCCCTGGCCAGACACCTCTGACGAATCGCAAGATGATAATAATAATAATGAACGGCCCAATTAGAATTAAAATAAAATTACTAATTATTGAAAATAATATTTTTATGAAAATACAATTACTCGAATCCTAAACAATATTAGGTTGAAACTAGGATAAGCATAAAATAAAAGTAGGAAGAAGCTAAAGGAAAAGAAAAATGAAATTAGAATAAAAATAGGTATTATATTTTGACTCGGGAAGCATTGATCAACATTAAGAAATTTGATCTAAACAAAATTAAAATACAAAAATATTATAAGAATGAAATGACATGCTTGAGAATGAGACTTACCACTTTCTTATGATCTTCAATCTCACTAATAAAATTTTCTTGAACGATATCAGTTAAATTTGCTGCTTCATCTGTCACAAGAGATTTTTGGATAATTTTATAAACCTGTGTAGTTTCAGGATTAATTTCTTCATTTATTACTATACTGCTTAATGTTGATTGAAGATTTTTATTACTTAATTTTTGATATTCACTTTGTTGATGAGATAAGTTTTCTTGTAGAGATTTTGTCTCGAGCACAGCGGTTTTTTGAGTTAGAGGTTGTTTATTTGTAAAAAACTCATCCCAATTTAGAACTTCAGATTCTGATGAATAAACTGATTGGTTATTTCGATCTAACATATTGTTTTGTTCATCAATTAATTTTGTTGAGTCTAAAAAATTTTTAGTGTTTAATATATTGGAGGCATGAGAAGATTCATTGTCAATAATATGGTATATTTCTTTATTGTCAAATTTAGTTTCAACTAGTGAATCTTTTTGTTGACAAAATCTTGTATTTTTAATATGATCAATTGAAAGTGTATTGTTATCCGTTGAATAATGAGATACATTTGATAATAATTTATCATTATCAATTGATTTTGTTTCATTTAGTTTTGAATCTAAAATTTGTTCATAAACAAAAGATCCATCCCAAGTGGAAGCATCAGGTTTAGCAGATCTAGTATGGGATTCTTTATGAAGATCTGATTTTGATTTATCCTCTGTAATAATTTTATTCATTTCAGATGACTCAGTCATCTTCGTATTCCAAGAAATTGGTGTTAATATTTTCTCAGCTGATTCTCTGGAATAATTTGAATTATTACTTGGTATAAAATCAGTTTCATCTAAATCAGTATATTTTTCAATAGGAGATGATGTTTGAACAATGTTATCCATATTTGTGCCAGAAATTTCATTAGTATTCACTTTTTTTTTAATTTTATCAGAAGATAACGGTTGTTCATACATAAATTTCCCGTTCCATGTTGATTGGCCAGGCTTATAAGACTGTGTATTTATAAATGATTTTTTAATCGTTCCTAAACATTTAACAGTATCAGGACTCTCATAAATCATTGGATTATCATTATTATTTGAAGTAACTTTTGTAGTTGATATGACTTTATCTGATTTAACAATATTTTTATTTGTAATTTGAGTATTATTTTTATTGGTTTTACTTTTTTCGGTATCAGATACAAAAATATAATCACCTTTCTGACTTAAATTGTTAGTCAAGTCAGAAGATTGAACGGGAAAGTGGACAATTTCCATTTTTTTAGCTTTGGTTGCAACATAACTTGATGTTAGTTTAGTTGTATTAGAAGTTTCTGAATTTTCAATTGATTGTACATAAGCAAATTCACCATTCCAATTAGATTCTTTTGGTATTAAAGATTTTTTAGTGTCTGGAGTTGTAGTTTGTTCATACTTTGATTCTTGTAATAATTGTACATTTTTCTCTAATTTAATAGAATTGTCTTTATTTTGTTTTTTGTTCAAATGATCAATAAATAATTCTTTACTTGCTTGTTCTTTAGTTATTAATGAAGTTTTTAAAGATGAAGATGAAGATTCATCAAAGTTTTTTGAATGTATTGTATATTGAATAGAGGATTGTTGTTGTTCATTATCAAAAAGTTCAAAATTTGAATTACTACCGTGTAATTGAAGCTGTAATTTATGAACTACATCAAGTTTTTCATAATTTTCTGTTTTAGTTGAATTTATTTGACTTGTGATCTCTGGAGGCTTGTCAATAATTGTTATTTTTTTTCCAGTATCTTTAATGATTTGATTATTCGAACCAATTATTTCAATATAATTTATGTGACTATCAAATTCTGGATTTACTTTTACTTCTTTCACCATGTTCGATGATTTTATCGATGTTGATGATGTTTCGATCGTATCGGTAATTTCTTTTTCTACTCGAACTATACTGTGCTCATTGTTATCCATCATTTTATTTTTTATTTCAATCCACTTCCTAATAAGTTGACACTTTACCACTTGTTGCGTCTCTTCATAAATTATAAATATATCTGAATTGAATGTTAAACTATTCCTCTTGGTACAAAAAAATCGCAGCTTAATAAACTTTATAATCGATTCACATGTATATAAGTAACACACATGCAATATTTAATATAATAAAAATATTAATAATAAATAATTTAAAAATTTTTTTATCATTCTTAGTAACGTTCAAAATTGATAATATAATAATTCACAGTAAAGTTTTGTTCATTTGTGTATTAGTAAATAATTGTAAAAATACTAATAACAACCGTTAAAAACTATATTGACGTATATTACTTAACAAGTAGCATCATGTAATTCAACAACTGACTAAAATTGACAGAATGCATGAAACTTTTCTCTTTTACACTACCCTACTCCTTTCTGATTCTCCCTTCCTTCATTTCTCTTCTGTATCCCTACTACACTTTTTACCTTCCTCCTCTCTTTTCGCAGCTTATTTTTTATATCTTTTAACACAAATTTAATTATATACATATATGCTGGTGAACTCATACTCAAATGCAATAACAGGTTTTTATGTTAGTACAGAGATGAGATAAGACACATTCTCACTTGGTTGGTATATGCGTGGGTCGCATACAATACTACGTGTCTCACCACATCAGCAACCTTCAATGCTTTCACAAGTAAGAACTTAATAATATAAAACTACACGTTTATGACACATTATCTTTTTAGTAATGTATGTTCGTGAATTTAGTCACGAATACCTTTGTAGCTTTTTTTGGAAATGATGTAAGCAACCAGAAATGATTCATATCAATAAATAATTTGTTATTACAACTAACTCTTGAGATAACTCTAAATCTTTTTCAATTTTAGTTTATACTTTATACATGGAGAAAAATAATCAGAGCTATATTACTTGACTAATCAAGTAAACTTATTCTAGAAAACGTCACTAGAATTCTAATTAATTTTTATTCACAGTGTGAAACAGTTTCTTATATCATCTGATAGATAGTATTAGAAAAATCAAGCAGAATTAATTTAAGATTTTTTACTTTATTTCTTAATCACTTTCTTATGTTGTATAGTAAAAATGACTGGATGAACGAAAATAATGAGAGCCTGATTAGTTGACTAGTCGAGTCAACTCATTCTAGAAAAAGTTGCGAAAATTCTGGTAAAATTTTTTTGGTAGAATGGAACAGTTTCTTATAATTTCTGATAAACAGTATTCGAATAACCATGTTGCCACAATTTTATATAAATAAAAATTTTGATTCTTTCCAATAGTTTCGGATAGCCAAACGGGCTAAAGCGTCGGTTTATAGTTAGTTGCGTGCGTTATAAGCAATTGTAGGTTCGAATCTCCCCAATAAAATATTCTTTACCAGCTTAAAATCTGCGTTTTCAGCATTCTTTAAACTGTGAATACCTAAAATTGGTGTTCAGCATATACATAGAGTCTATCAAAAATAATTTTTTAATTATTTCAATTATTTTTATTTTCTCCGTGTATATATAATTATTATATCCATGAAACATTTTTAATCTTTCAACAATATATAAGTGTAACTAATATTATTATAAATTATTTAAATTTATTTACAGAAAATGATCATTACATATACATTTAGTTATATAAGTCCAATCAGTTTAATTATTGATGAATATCATACGTATACGCCATAAATAGAAAGATAATTATTTTTACTTAATCGCATACCATGTTTCAAGGCCTAAAATGATAGTCTTACAAAAAATATTTATCAACTACAAAATATGTATTATACACGAAATAACTCTATTTACCATTACGAAATATTTATGTGGTTATAGATAACATGTGTTTGTATAAAAAAAAATGATGAAAAAAATTCTAATGACTGCATTTATTCTTGCCAAATAATATCTTCTTTTAGCGCAAAACATACCATCCAAATTAATAGTTTTTTATATTTTTCAAAAATGTTCATTCAATTTATTTTTATTTATCTCAATACTATTTAAGAACGTACTTTTTATAAATATACTTGAAAATTGTTCAAATAACCATATGTAGTATTAAGTCTACACTTAGGTATACATATATGTAGAGGTATTACATATGTGTTTAAAACCAATTCTATGAAAATATATATATATATATATATGACCAAGTAACGTAAAAGTGGTAATGACGAGGTCAACGGAGTCTCAAATGGGCAAAGAAGAACCGGTTTTCATTGCAAATTCAATACTCGAGTTATAAAACAAGTCATGACGTAGTTAACCATGTTAGCAAAATTCGACGAATTCAATCAGTTTTTTTTTCCTCTTTAACAATCTATATTGGATACGTATGTCCTTTTTGTGTATGTATATTTTAAATTTAACTCCTTTCACTTCTGTTTAATCGGTACCTATTTTGGTGCACCTCTCCAACAGTGCATAAATGAATGACAAGGAAAAAAATTAAAAGTAGGCCATAAAATATTTATAATTTATTTATTTTTACGATTAAAAATTTTAATTCAATTCAATATTTTAATAAAAAAACATTCAAAAATGATATTAAATTTTTTGTTTATTTGTAAATATGTTTGTTCATATTATTAAAAATAATAAATTTTAATTGGTATTAAATTAAACTTGTATCATTTAATCGAATTAACAGTAGTTAAAAAAAAATTAAATTTTTTAATGTTACATGAGATTAAGATAACTGATGTGGAATAAAAACAAAATAATTAATTCAATATGATTTAATTTTATAATGAAATTAAAAAACCCATTTCAATGAAATTTTATTTATAACATAATAAAAATAAATTTATGATTAAAAATGTAACACATTTTTATGTTTTATTAATTAATATATCACATGTCTTACTTGTACGTGGAAATTCTTCATAGAAAAATAATTGGAAGATGACATAAGATATCACTTTAAAATTAATTGATTAATCATGGTGACATGGTTTCATTAAATTTTGGTAAGATTATTCAATTCAGTGGAAGAGACTAGGGCAATATGAAGACACTAATATAAGAAATGTTTTATAAATAAATCATTGAAATATTATTGAATTTGAACATTGTAAATGTAAATTAAAGATATTATAATATTACTACAAAAAAAAAAATATTTCATTAGTTGTAAACAAGAATATATATGTTACTATAGCTGTATATGATTGGGCAGACAAAAATTTATCAGTTTACGGCCTTTAAACGTGTCGTGAAATTCAATTTTATGTAGGAGTATGAAAAAAAGCTATCAATTAAAATGTTGACCAAATAAAACGTCACCGATTTGCTTGATTAAACATGTGGGTAGAAAATGCCTACTCACATCTTCTATATTTGGTAGTATAGCTCTACGGCACACTGACTCGCGTAGGTATAACTTGAATTACTCATTGTATCTCACAACATCATTTTACCAAGTTTCAACATCATTCTCAAAAGTCAGAGAGATATTGAAGCTATAAGTACCTTAATTGTTTGTAAATGTACGAACTTCAATTATTATTGTGATTTAAAAAAAATATGTAACTTGGATTATTCATTCGTTTAAATTTCATTGTTGTTTGTAATTAAAAAGATATTTTGAATTTTAATACATTTTTAAGTTAGGGGGATTGCAATGCACGCATCTTAAATTAACGCTTCATCCCGCTTGGCTAACTGAACAATTAATATTATAACAAAAATATGCCTATCTCAGAATATCAAAGTTTTACCTCACTGTTAAGTATCATTTATTTTAAAAAATATTTTACTTTACAATAAGATGACATATACTTATGAGCAAGTTACTTAGTTCAGAAACTATTTTTTTACTACTCTTGTAGAGTCAAAATAACAGAATTCATTTTTCTAATGAATCTGTGTATCTAATAAATTCTCTATTTTAACCCGAATATAATATTATTGTAAGTATCTTCAAATGTGCTGTAAATAATATACTGTTTATTCTTATCCTGTTAATGTAATACCAACTGTTGTTATAATTTTATATCTCTCTAAATATGAAACAGTAAAAATAATGAAATACACTGGAAAATCAATGAATATTCATTGATTTTCCAGTGTATTTTATTTTTAAAGAGTATATCTTTTTTCCAGAAAATTCATTGATGAAAATGGTAAGGAATAATCAATTTATCGGTTTACCTTGATATTTATCCAAAATAGACTGAAAAATTATGCACAGTAGCAAAAAACCTATTTTATGGGAATTGAGTTCGAGTACGTGCTGTGAAAAATAACATCCAATTCATTTTATCATTCTCATTACTCCATTTTCATTGTTTATTTAATTTATTATATTAATTAAGCTTAAAAAATGCATATAGTTGTGATATAAAAAACCTTAAATAAATTCATTAAATAGCATCAATAACAATTTTAAATGGTATTAAAGTAATTAAATATTCTATAAAATAAATATATATGGTATGTACACGTGTACCATGCTATCAACAGAATATAAATTAATTAAAAATCTTTTCATTGATATAACTAACAAAGTTATAAGGATTTTTAATTTTATGAATATCTTCTATTATATTTTATACATATAAGAATTGGAAATATAAAAATTATTTTAAGCGTTTTATTTTTAAGTATCTTCATAAGTGAAAAAACATTTTTATACAATGACATCAGCATGATTGTATGAGCTTAATTAAGTCAATCATATGAATTAAGCTTATTTACAATAAAAGACTGTTAATATTAGATATGAAGTCATGAATAATTAAAATGAAAAGAACAATAATAAGACATCAATTTCAGAAGTACTGTATCAATGTTATTTGGTTTATTTCAAATAAAATTCAACAGCCAAAATAAAACATGAATTGCATGAAAAAGTATAATCTGTAACAAGTATTTCTAACAAGTGAAAGCAGAGATGTCGCATTTTATGCGACCGTGACACTAAAAGTTTGAATAAGTTGTCCTCGAGACAACAGCAATGATAAAATTTAATGCAATCAAGGTAAAAATATAAGAACATAAATAGAATGATTAACTTATAGATAGTTGTTATCTCAAGATCGTTATATTGTCATAGTATTATGTAAATACTTATGAATATTGTTCATATTTTTATTAAAAAATTTTTTTATAACAAATTATAATGATGGTAATGCTTAAAATTCCTTAATTATTACATTATGTTAAATAAATATTTGTTACCTTTGACAATTGTAACTTTAATTCAAAAATATTTATTTCAATTTCACTTTAAAATTATTTTGCCATTGAAACATTTTTATCGATCGATTCAACAATAAAAATCTATAAACTTGACATTTCACCATATTTCATAAATCACCATACATATTATAATTCAATACAAGTATATCATTAGATAGTAATTTCATATTTATATTACTTAAGTTAATGACTACTCTTTAACATTTCTCTAAACAAAAAAAAATCACACTCTATACGAATGCTTTATCATGTATGAGAGAATATTCCCGCGTTTAGCCTAAATAAATATTGAAGGTATCAGCAAAAGTTGTCACGGAAACAAAATGTATATAAAGAATGCGCAGGCTCTTAAGAATACATATCAAAAAATTAAACTTGAAATATCAAGGAATATAATATCTACAATGTTCTTTACATACATATATGTTAGAAATAAATGATATTTTAACTTAGTTGAGGAGTATAATAATTTTTATTTGAAAGAGTACATATTGATTAAGGCTATGTTCCTAATTGAAGAATAATTGGCTGACCAGTGTTAATATTGTGTAAATGATCAACCAACGTATGTAGTCAGTTTTCGAGACAAAATTCACCATCTGGCACGGTATTCGAATTGTTCCAAAGTTAATCAAAAAGAACAATTTTAATCAATGTCGTTTGATTTTGTATGTTGAATTAGAAGCCAAGATTATTAATCAAAAATTTTTATTATATAAAATTTCAAGAAATTAATAAAACGGTTTAATACCATTTTCAGATGATGAAAATGATGATAATAAAAGTTCATAAAACATTAATAATTTTCTTATATTCGTAATTAAAATTTATCTAACAATTTTTGTATCATCTTTTTTACTTACAATTAATATACTGTCACGTTAAAACATAAAATTTTCCCAGAATTCATCTTCGACTATAATCAAGAAGATTCGGTTGCCGTGCCAGCTAGTAAGATGCCGTGAAAAACGAATTCAGATCTAGCCAGATCTGTTTTATGAGATTGCAATCTCTGTGCACATCTGATCAGATATGACAGATTTAATTAAATTTATTTTTATGTTTTTAGATCCAAATTTCCAGATTTTCTCAGATCTGATCAGATGAGACATATCAATTCTGATGTAAGCAGATTAAAAAATTTACATCTGATTAAATCTAGAAAATTAAAAAAAAAAACCTGAACTTATTATCAAAAATAGTCCCATAATTCTGACCTGCTAAGATCTGACATCTGACAGATGATCACATCTGATCAGATCTGAAATCGCTTTTTACGGGTTTTGTCTTGAAAACAATAATACTGTTGTCCATATACAAATACGATTAATTGTTAATGAGATCAAACTTAAGTTTTACTCCTCCTGCAGGTGCAAGAACAAATGCAGTTTTATCAATTTTATATGGAATTATTGTAAATTTCGATGGTCGGACTCTGAAATGTTTTAAAATAGCAATCAATCCAAGTTTGGATTGATAAATAGCAAATCTCGCTCCTATACAATTTTTAGGACCATCCCCAAAAGGTAAATAAGACATAGGGTGTCTTTGATTTTCTTCCATAAATCTTTCTGGTTCAAATTTTTCGGGTTTCAAAAAATACCTTTCATCATGATGAAAACAATAAATTGGAATATGGACCATTGTTCCTGCAGGTATTGTAACCTTACTCCCAGGTATTGTATAAGACACTGTTGTTTCTCTTCTTAATAAAACTCCTGGTGGATTTTTTCTTAAAGTTTCTATAATAAATTTGATAATAATATTACACTAATTTTTTTATGTTCAATAAGTAATAAAGTATCAATACAAACCCTGCACGACCATATTCAAATACTTCATTTCATTAATAATTTCATAAGATAATTTTCCTTGATGTTTTTTTAATGTTTCCATAATTTCTATTCGCAATTTTTCTTGAACTTCTGTAGCTATAGCTAATTCATATAAAGCAAAGGAAATAGTGGTAGACGATGTTTCAAATCCAGCAGCAAAAAAAACAAATGCTTGAGCAGTTAATAATGTTTCGGTAATTTCTAAAAACAATTATTAAATACTTGATATATTACAATTGAAATACACTAATTATTTTATTTCAATATAAAAAACATAACTACCAAAATCAATCTCATGTTTATTTCTATACATATCTTGTAGAATATCCACCAAATCATGACGTACAATATTATACTTTTCTCTCATTTCCATTGTTTCCTTAATGGAGTTGATAAAAAAATTAACATAATTTTCAGAAAGAGTTCGTAAACCTAAAATTTTAAAAAGTTTGGGTGCTACATCACGAAGTATACGTCTTGCCATATTGTAGATGGATGATTCAAATACTTTTCGCCCCATTTTCCTAAATTCACTGTCTTCTTTTTCAAGAGCATTCATATTAATACCAAAAGCACAAGACCCAATAATATCAGTTGTAAATTTAGCTGCTTCCTCTCGACATTCAACAATATCACCATTATGCACATTATTTAGCAAGTATTTTTCAAAATGTTCGGCACATTCAACCATTAAAGTGACCATTTGTTTGAGTTTTCCAGTAGTGAATGCTGGAGTTAATTTAGCTCTTATTATTTTCCATCGATGCCCATCAAGGGAAAATATATTATTAGACAGTGGTTCATCTTTTTCATTTATTTTTATCCCCCGACCAGGAAATACATTAAAATCTTTAATAAGTACTTGTCTTACTAAATTTAAATCATTTATAATAAGAACTGGCACTCGAGAGTTATAAATACCAATAAACGGTTCATTTTTCCAATCATCATAGATTGTTTTTACTACTTCAATTAGTGATTTCCTTCCAAAAAAAAAAAGGCCCAAAATTACCAACAAAAGGTAGTGGTCGAGGTCCGGGAACGCCAATATTCTTCCAAAATGTATGTTTGAAAGATGACCAATAATAAAACAATAATAATAGCAACACAATAACAATTAAAAATACTTCAAGTTCAAACTTCATATTTATTTTACAAAAAACTTATATTCAGTATTTCATGAAACCCATCTAACTTGACAGAAATATTAAACGATTCTGATGTATTCATCTCACTGAAATTTAATTATATCATAACAGATATGAAGATATTGAAAAATTAACAAAACTTGTATATACTTAATGACTTGCAAAACATGAAACTGTGAGTATATTCAATTATTGTTATTATAACTGAATCATTTGTTTTTTTTTTTTTTAATTTTTTTAACCTATTTAATCAACTTTTTTTCTAGTAGAATGATGACAATGCTAAATGGTGAATATTATATCGAATATTCTGTACTTGATAACACTTTAATTAAATCATTTATACCGATAAGAGAGAAAAAGATTAAAACTCAATAGATAAAAATATAGCTTGATGTAATATTATGGAAACTTCATATTATATGTTATAAATATTCAATTTATTGTAACAACATTTGTATTATAAAATTTAAAAGTTTCTTCATTTTTATCATAATTTTAAAATATCAAATAAATTGATTAATAAATATATCATATATAATATATTATAGTAGAAACTGCTTCATAGATAATGATCAAGTATCCTGCAAAAAAAGCTAATGCTCTGTGTGGTTGCATAGGAAATACAACATACACTAACGTATGTGTTATTCTTGCGGCTACAAATATTCTCATTAACATCATAGCAAGGTAATATGAAGGATTTGTTGTAAGCCAAATCAATGTCATCACAAACCAGGGTAAAATATTTTCCAAATCATTTCGATGAGCTCTTCGTACTCTTTCTACGTCGGGATCATCTAAAACCACTTTTTGTGATTTTCCATTAGCATCTTCTGGATTTGCAAATACCTTCGAATGTAAATTCCATATATTATTCAAAGTTTTATGATGAAGAAAAATGTTTATTATTATACAATGAATAATTAATTATATATGGTTACATGAAAATAAAAAAAAAAACATTATCTCACCTTTTTTCGAAAACGTTGTCGGCCTGTAAGAATTGCCATAGCTAATATTTTCATAACTAGTATTGAACTACATAATGCATATTCTTTTAATAAATCCTCTTTGATAGCAACCATTATTGTAATTTACACTATTACGCTAAACAAATGATGTTAGTCACTAACAGAATTAATACATAGAAAAGTATATTTCAATATTGTTTATTTGTCACAACACTGTCAAAGAAAACTAAAAACACATAGAACTTCAAACTAACCGGATTTTTATTTTCATACACATCCCCACTATAAATCAGATAAGGAGGGATAAATGTTAATTCGGTTTTTTTTAATCAGCTGATGTATACAAATTTATTATAGATGTCAATATAATAATTAAAAAAAAAAAATATTTTTATCTTACAAAAATTTTATAAAAAAGAGTTGTTAGTTATTTATTTTTTATGCCTCTGAAAATTAAGATGGCCGTTCAAGCGTGACAATGAAAAATTACAATGCATTCATTTTTTAAGCAATTTTTGTTAATTATTGTTTTTTTGTAACAGGCTTTTATCCCTTCTTTATAATGAAAGAAAGTACTTTATATCTTAAAACATCATATTTAGAATATAATTACGAATTTTATAGTTTTTTTAATTCACCATAAACTTAAAAATTCGAGATTGGAAACTCAGTTTAAATAAAAATTATTCCTACGACCGGTAATTACTCTTATGATACAGGGAAATTATTAATGGAGCTCGAGGGAGCGTGACATCCGTCCCCAATAAGATGTCAGTCAAAGGCATTTTTACAATCTTTTAAATTTAAATCTTTAAATGTATAATCTTACTGATTGTTAATCAAATTCTATGATGCCCAGATTTTTTATCTAATGATCATTTTAAAAATAAGCTTTATTCTTTTAATCTTTTAAATTGGTTTTTTTTATTTTCAATCATTTAATATTCAATCAAATGATAAAAATTCTTCTTTTTTAATGTTTATCATTTCGTTGAACAGTCAACTTAAGAAATTAGGACTGGTAAATTATCTAGCGTCGGTATAGTAGAAAAAAAATTCAACTAGTGTCACTGTTTTCTGATAGATGATAGTAATTGCACTGTTTTTCAATCAAAAATTCAAGATGCTTATACAGAGAAAAGTCTTCTTTCTGGCTCATGTAATGTCATGTAATTCCTACTACATAAATAAGTATATTTAGGCTTATAATCTAATGATAATAATAAATGATAATTTAAAATAGCCATGTAATTTCAATGAAGATTATACGTGAAATTACATAAAAGAAACCAAGTCATCCAGTTATTATAGCAGAAAATCCCGAAGCTGATAAAAAAGTTATCAGTAATAAAAAAGGAGCATTTTTTTTTATGTAATCAAACAAAAATATTATCTATATTAGATAAATTTAACAAAGAATGCATAAGTGGAAAATATCCTGCATTATGAAGCATAGATAACATTGGTTTGGATACATTAAATTTAGAAGTAAGTTATAAATTGTACCAAGAAAGCTTGTTAAAAAATAATATTGATAAAGTATTCATTATTATTCTTATCATTAACGTAGGAAGAGTGGAAATTCATTTATAATTTTATTTTTGGATATCCAATGATTGTATCAAACTCAATAGAGTTCAAACTTCATCACCAATTATGTCTAGAAGTAATATGTTTATTTCTGTCTCACTTAAGTACAAAAATTCAGTATTTATTATCGTTGATATCGTATTTCAATGGTAAGATAAAATAAGATATAACTCATATATACAATTTTTCATAAAAAATAATATCATCCAACAGGAAGGATGTACTCATTTACTACCAACATTAATGGTCACATTTTATTTACTCAAAGCTGACTAGTGATTTATATTAAAATTTATTAATAAATTTATATTCATATTATATTGATATTTAAATTCAGGTAAATTAAGGTATTCATTACAAATACTGATTTATTTTATAAAAACTTAAGTAATAAAACTTTTTTTTTCGTTGCACGAAAATTGTTTATGTTTATGAAAGAAGAGAATAATACTCACAGACAATATTTTTGAAGTTTTTCAACTTTTTAATAATTCAGTTTTCAAATTTTTTTCACTTGAATTCCGTTATTACGTTAACATTGAGATAAAAATGTTATTAGCATTAGATTATAAGCCTAAATATACTTATTTATGTAGTAGGAATTACATGACATTACATGAGCCAGAAAGAAGACTTTCTCTGTATAAGCATTTTGAATTTTTTTTCTACTATACCGACGCAAGATAATTACCAGTCCTAATTTCTTAAGTTGACTATTCAACGAAATGATAAACATTAAAAAAGAAGAATTTTATCATTTGATTGAATATTAAATGATTGAAAATAAAAAAAACCAATTTAAAAGATTAAAAGAATAAAGCATATTTTTAAAATGATCATTAGATAAAAAATCTGGGCATCATAGAATTTGATTAACAATCAGTAAGATTATACATTTAAAGATTTAAGGCTGGGCTGAAGTCAGAAAGGCGACTGATTCCCCCTATCCAAATACATGGGATCGGGAAATTTCTAATTTCTTCGCCAATTTACAATTATTTCTATAAAATTAGGTACCAAATTACAGAGGAATTAATGCCGGACTGACGTAAACAACAATTTTTTGTATATAGTGAATATTTTTATTAAAAAAATTAGAAAGAATAATGAAAAAATTATGAATTGACTTGCCGCGCTTAAATTTCAAGATGGCAGCCACATCATTCAGATGAAAAATCACTAATTATTTCATTTTTATACGTTTTTTTCGCCCAAAATTCGTGTTTGCGTCAGTCCTTGCCACCTGTCTGAATGTTAAAAAAATCAATTCATAGTATAAAATTGAATAATTTAGAAATAATTAGAAATCTTGTATTCCAGATGATATTCTCCGGAAAATTAGTTTGAAAAAATTCTGATAGGTGACAGCATTATGCTCGCAGATGACCTCAGTCATCCATATTGAAAAAATGCTCAATCCGTATCCAGAACTGATGGTGCCCTGTATTTTGGCGAGTAAATTCTGTATGTGTGTGTACGGGTAATATATGTATGTGATGTAAACATACTGTATCACTTTACAATGCCCTACACTTTGATGACTATTGCAGTAGGATAAATAAAAATGATGATACTCATTTAACATTAATTAATATAATACCTGCAAATAACTTCAAATACATATACTCATCCATTATTATCATTTTTATTAGGTATAAATGTTAATAAGGAAGCTCAATTCCAAGTCGGCGCATCCAAGCATGTAGTGTAAAACAAATATACATTAACTTAATATCGAGATTATGCTGGCCATGTGGTTAGGGCGTCAGAGTTCTATTTTGCCGGCAGGGTTCGATCCCAGTCATAACCAATTTTTTTTTTTCTACTTTATTCGTTAGATAAGCATGTAATTATAATATTGACATGCTATAATTAATCTTTTATAACAATTTGATTTTTTTTCTCTTTATTCATTGAATTTATTGACGCTAAGTCGAAAATATTTGAACAGAGCCATAAACTTTCTTTTTGTATAAATACATTGATAATAGCCTGTGTTAACAACTTATACTTATACATCTTTACATGTATTAACAATGTTATGTTATTAACAAGTTAATCATATTATTATCAACATTGAAAAGTAGTTTAAACAATCTGTGGCGAGTTTCGGCACTTTCCCGGCAAGCTCTACCCCCACTCTCTATGCCCAAGCCTGCAGCTTATAATTTTTGAGCATATATAAATGTTTTGTAATCATAATAGCTCGGTGGTTAGCGCATCGGTCTTTCATTTTGATGGGCAGGGGTCGATTCCAGTCATGGTAGTCTTTTCATTTGTTAGATTTGCATGTAATTATAATATTAACATGCTAAAATGAATTCTTACCAACGATTTGATTTTTTTTCTCAATTATTTATGTAATTTATCGACGCCGAGTCGGAAAACATGAACAGGGTTATAAACACTTTTTTTACTATATCTATACGAACGCAGCTTTTTTTTAAGCAATTTAGAAATATTTAGAAGTAGTTGAAATAATCCACGGGGATTTCCGGCACTTCGCCGGCAAGCTCTATCTTCACCTTTCGTACTCAAGCCTGCATTATACAATTTATAAACATAAACACATATATGTAATACTCCTATATGCTAGTCGGTATAGGGAGAGAGACTTAAACATTACGGTGCAGACATATATGCGTTTGTCTCACTTATTATACGCTGCGACTTGTGCGCATGATTGTGAATGGAGCGTGCGCATTAGATAGCATTTCAATTTGTACAAGAAATGAGATATGAGATATTCATTTTGCATATGAAGTAGCGTCCTGTTTTACATGCTACATCCAATTTTTTATATATTTTTAATTGACTCCATGTAAAATGTCAAGTTTGTATTATACAATTAAAAGGCGACGCTACTAAAGGCACAATGCCTTTATTATCGCAAATAAAAAATCGCGGACCATATATAACACCATCAAGGATGTAATGGCTATTTGCAAAGTGTTTGCGAAACAGATTATCAGAAAATATCAATCGGAAATAAGTGAAACCTTCAATTAACAATTTTTAATAAATAAATATTTAACAACATAGGGATGCAATTGACAATAAATCATGAATGAACACATTTTGGATAATCATCGATCGCAACTTTGCAAATACGTTATTGAATTATATTTAAATACTCGGTTACATTATGAAGCTAAAAAAATGTCCGAGAAGGATCATTTTATAAGACAAAAATATACAAAACTCGTATTATTTAAACACCAATAAGTTTAATAATGTATAATTTGGTGTACTGGTATGTGTAAATAATAAATTATTTATTGTTAAGTATTATTTTTTTTATCTTAGTTTTTAATTTCCTTATATCCTTAATCAATTCCCCATTTTTTCTGAAATGCCTGTTTCAAATATGTTGTTCATTTGAATGAAGCTGCTTATAAGAAGTAGAATATGCCAAACTTCATTTTAAAAAAATTAAATGAAATCTTTTGTCATTAAGGAAAGAAAAAAAACATTTCTATTTGTAAATTGTGTTAAAATTAATTTCAGAGCTCATGAATGCTACATTTTTTATACAGTAAACTTAAAATTATTAAATAGATATTTAAAAATCCAATAGCTTTGTATACTATTTATAATTATCATTATCACATTTAATTGTATTTAGTGTATAATAATTGTCATTAAAATATAGACAGGAAAAAAATATTTTTTTAATTAATAATCATGAATATTTATTTATCATCATCACATTTATATATGTATACTTAAAAATAGGAAAGCAATGTTAACTATTGTGGCGATGTACAAAAGTGATTAGTATGTAGTTTGTAAAATCTAATACAAAAATAATAATTTAAGAACAATAATTGACTTAATTATATTTTTCGCATTTATTACATGTTATTTTATACTGTGGGATGTTGGGGTCAAACTCAAGGAGTTGGGGCAGCTTGGGGAAAAGACTTAAAATTTTAATTCTTCAAAAACTTTCAATTGTAATTTTTATAAAACAATTTAATTTATACTGGTATTTAAAAATATCAT